TTTTTTAAAGCTTACGTATTTACATTGCTCAAAATAATTTAAAGAAATAGAGTTCATTAAAATTGTTTCAGCAGCTTTTAATTCACAATTTACTATTAAATTACTTAATTGCTATTAGACACTACTAATCTACAGAGGTCACTCGGGAATATATATTTTTCGTGTCATTTGCATCCACATCGGCACGTTATGATAGTGACTAGCGGTAGTTACTAGCGAAAGTGACGTCCCTGTAAGGGAGCGATTACATTGTGCTACACAGCCTCTGCTTAGCGTTCGGCAACCCGTGACGATGCGGCACAAGTCATCAATAACACGTCTGCAGCTTCACAGCTAACATATTATCAATATTAACCAAAAAAAACAGCAAATTATTATACAATTATTTCCATTATTAAATTAGTAACTAAACAATTTATTTCCCTAGAATGTAGATTAGGTAATCCTTAATTTCAACCAGAATAATATTTTACTAATTCACTAGGTGTTTTGAACACAAAAATAGACTGGTCACTCTCCAGTACTGGAACAAAAACTCATCAAAAACAGAGATCATTCATTTATGCAGTTAAAATCACCCGCTACCGCTCATAATTCAGCCGGTGGTCATCGAAAGCTGCGGACGTGCGGGGCGTTAATTACACGCAGCTGGCCGTGCCTTCCGCTGTGCCATTGAACCTCGCTGATTTGCGACTTACACTCAATTATGTACACCTCAATCGGTGAGTTACGTGGTTTCAATTGACACGGTATGGATTACGCTAACGGCCGGCGTAGTGGCACATGCCAGTTGAAAAATGTGACTTCTCGTATGAGCGCTATGTAATCGTACGTGTAAATCCTGCAATTCAATCACCTATCAGTGATATGATTTTGTATACGTACGTAAAAACTATAGGTATATTTAATCTGTTAGGAATTGATGGTATATATCCTCCACAAAAAATTATGAAATAGACTTTTCGATTAGTCTGTTGATCGAAAGTCTACTTTTCACTCAAGCAACAAAACATTTTAATGGTTCAAGGAACACTCTTGAATAGATTGAAAGAAAAGATTTAGATGATTATATTCTTAAGCAGTAGATCTATGGTTTGATTATAACATAGTTCAATGTACGAGCAAAGCAATATTTGAAGATGAAGTTAGGTTTCATGTTTCCAATTATACGATCAAAACTAATTCTGAAATATCAGAATGCTTATACTCGATAAATTTTAATGTTTATTTAAAATGTATGGCTTTCTTTATTTAATTGAATTCATAATATAATAAAGTAATTTATATGTTATCATTATCACACACGTGATATAGAATACAACTATTTCTATGAACAAGATTAGAATCACAGAGCTATTATAAGAGTTGGTGCAACCGATAAAACGTTTCCCGGTGTAACAAGCTTGTTGCTAATTAGATACTTCTCAGTCCATTAGCAAAAGTCTGTAAATGATATCAAATACCTAAAAATGTAACAAAACTAAACACTTGAATCCGGTTTAAAAATAGTTTAATTACATCCTAATAAATTTTAAATTAACGCTAATCCCACTAAGTCTAAGGGAAACAACATTAGATAGATATAAGGGTTTTATTATTTACCTGCAAGTTGATTGAGATTAAAAAATACATGAAATGATCGTAATTTTAATTAGAACAGTCATATTAGAAGTTTAATGTCGACTTAACATTGATCGAAGTTTGCTTCGTCACAAAATAACAAAGGATAACGGTACAATAAGACCTTATTTAAAAAAAAGCATTTATACACGCGACTGCGAGACGATGGACTTCTTCTTCTTTAAGATTAGTATTCAGTTTGTGACACGCATTGTAGTAACACAGTAAACAAACAGTCAAGTTCAGGAGAAAGCTTTAAGAAAAATGGATATCTGACACACATTCTTGTATTTTGAACGCATGTCTAAACATAATAGGGTGACCTCTCCAAACAATTCTGTTTTGGAAACATTTCTATGTATGTCGGAACATTCCAAGAAAGAAATTAAAGGATTTTTTTACTTTTTCTAATTTAAATATGTACCTATACTTGCATTCCAACTATAGCTACTGAAATTATAATATCAAATATTATGCAAATGAAAAACAGTCACTGCCATCGAAAGTGCACGTACCTACTTGAGAATCTCGACAGTTTTGTTAACGTCTTGGGCACCAGAAAGTTCGAATTTGAGTTCGAAAATGTTTGCACAAAATCGTTAACATTATAAAATCTTTAGTATACTTGTAGCTAATTTAAATGAATGGATGTTCCAACAATATAAATTACCTTACTAATTCGGTATGGGGAACTGATTGTAGAATTTAAATTCAAAACAGTACTTTTGCGGACTAACCGTTAGCTGATTTTGATCTACATTTCCAGTGACTGTGGTATTCTAGTCTGCTATAAAAACTACTTACTCATCACTTATACGAATTTCAAATTTCCAACGAAATCTAATGACATCACTGACATGATCTAAATTTTGTGGTAAAATGTATGACTTCGTATTAAAGTTATACCCAACATTAAACAAAAATCCTTTATACATACATATATTGCAGCCGCAGTCTAGAGACTTATGCCTTATTTCTGAATTGAAAATTAAAGTGAAGCACATCTCAAACCATACTTTAGCCATCTTAAACGTCATTTAAACAGGTTTTCGTTTATGATTTTAATTTTTTGATTATCAATTGATAGCAGTTTGTCAAAACTAGGACTATTTGTCACTTAAAATGTAAAGAACTAAGTTATTAAGAATAATTAGTTGAGTTTATGTATATTTTACTGTAGCAAGGAAACAGTAATAGGGGTTAAAGTATGAAATTGGCGATTTATACTGAAAATCAAAATTGTTTATTTTTTAACAAATTTATTTAATCAAAATAGTTACCATTATTATCTTGACATTGCTGCCATCTAATAGGAAGGTCATTTATGCCTTTGCGAAAGAATTCTGTGGATCTAGACTGCACAAACTGTGTGAAAACATTTTGTTCTACCTCCTGGGAAGAAAACTTCTTGTCACGTAGATAATTGTCCAAATCACGAAAAATATGGTAGACCGTTGAAGCAAGGTCTGGCGAATACGAAGGATGACGGATGGTTTCTAATTGCAGTTCCTGAAGGGTCAAAACGGTTTCTCGTGCTGTATGAAGTCTAAAATTGTCATGGAGCAATAATGGTGAAGATCGATTCATGAGTCGGGCCTGTTTTACTGCTAATTTTGCCAACATTGTACGGAGTTCGGCACAATAGACATCTGCCGTTATTGCTTGACCAGATCGGAGAAAACTATAGTGAATAACACCATGCTGTGACCACCAGTTACCATTACCTTTTTATTGGTAAGTTTTGCTTTAGGACATTGTTGTGGCGTTTGACCTGGGGTCAGCCATTGCATTTTTCTTTTACGGTTATCATAAACAATCCAATTTTCATCACATGTCAGAATTCAATCCAATATTCCTTTATTTCTGTACCGATTCAACAAGGTAACACAAGTTTCAACACGCATTTCTTTCTGCAGATCAGTCAAATCATGAGGCACCCATTTTCCGTATTTTTTTATTTTATTGATTTGACGCAATTGAGTCAATATTTTGGGTAAGATAACGTTAAACCATGCCCCTAATTCCTGGGTAGTTTGACTAGAATCGACTTCCACCATCTCTCTTAATTCATCGTTATTCACCTGTGTGGGCGGTCATCGTCGTTGCTCGTTTAAACCAAATTTTATGAAATAGTGTTCATTAGCAGACACCTCTCCAAACGTAACATTGATATTGCAGGCTGTTTCTGCCGCGTTACTTCCGCGTCGGAACTCGTATTCAAAAATCGTTCGTATTTTCCCAGTATCCATCTTGCTTGTCTAAGTTGAATAAGAAAAAGAATTAAAAGTTGATATTCAAAAGTTTCTCATTTTTCTCATATTTATAAGAAGAACATCACAGAAAACATCTGAAATTTTTTTTTCGAAAACCACAAACCATTAAGTTTCTATGCCAATTCAAGGAACCTATTACAATGAAACGGCAATTTCATACCTGGACCCCTTATATTACTATACCTATATACATTTATTGTTTTGATATGATACGTTTCGTGAACGCTAAACGTTCTAGTAAGAAATAAGTATTATTCTTTCCACTCAGGGAACTCGATTCGATTCAATATTAATCACATGGAAAAAGGTTACATCAAAGATTAATAGTGCCTAGTAGAAGTGGATTTTTAATTGTATTTTTTATAAGATAAGCCAATTTTGCATTGTGAATGCAAAATTTATCAAAAATAATAGTTTTTGGAATTTCAAGACTATATAATTTCAGACTGGTAAAATACAATTTTGAACTTACTCTTATATAAGTATATTAGGTACCTTAAATATTTTTAGTAGTAGGTATCTGTAAGGTACCTGAAGTGAAATTGTTAAAATTAATAATAAGTCAGATTGAGAAATTTATATTATGTATGTACTATTATAACAAATCGAAGCGAAAAAATATCTTTGTTGTATTTTTTTTTTCGTTAATTATAATATTTATAATTTTTAAAATTAATTTGGCTATATTTTATGTATGTTTGTTACATTGAGTCCTAATAACAATTCAGGGAGAAAAAACCTGTAAGAGTTAGGTATATCGTTTCGTTTCATAATAGAATACGGATATTATTACTTAAAGTGTTTTTTCTATGCAATATATTTCTTTAAATAACACATATTTCAGTAGCTTACCAACCTACAACATTATTTTGTACATGTACACCTTCATTAACTTCTCCAAAAATTAGATTCATCATTTTTAGCTTTTTTTTGTATGTAACTTGCTGTTTTGAAAGTGAAATTTCCGATCAACAAAATAGAGCTAACTTTTGAAATCAGAGTTAATCACGTACCGGAACATCGGGCATATGGCCCGATACGTCCTTGCCGTTTCCGGTGATAGATGTCGCAAGAGCGTTCAGTTGGAAAGTGAAATTGTAATCAACAATGAGGCGGCGCCGGCGCGTCTGTGCAGCCGCGGAAGCGAACGCGACCGCCCCGCTGGGTGCACACCATAGATTATACATAATACTGGGTGCACACACAGATGTATCACGGGAATGGAGAATCGGTTACTTTAAACGGTTTCAACCGGGAAGAGGTGAACAATTTAACCGAATTATCTTACTAGCTAATCCTCACCGAACTTTAGAGTACACATTCTTGAATTTGTAAGCCGCATTTCAAGTTTAAATTACTCATGGGGATTATTTTGATATTTTTTAATTCAGTTTTTTGTCAATGTTAATTAATTTATTTAATATAAAATATAATTGCCTCACGAACTGCGCGACGTCGACACCATGAATTTAGATTAAAGATTAATTGTCAATTTGCATAACAAACAAATGCATGATGTCAAAAAGGAAAACACCGTAACTGAATATATTCATCGTGTATAAATATAACTATTCTATTAAAGTTTGTGGTTCATGAATGTCAAATCACATTTTAATCTAGATTTTAACATTGTGTATGTTGTTTAGAGACGAAACTTAACCAAATTCATAAGTAACTAAAAAAATTAACCCAGTAAAAGTGATTTATTTTGTAATCCGTTTTGATTTCATGCAATAGCACACAGTAGTTAAGTAATAAGTTATAACCTAAAGATAAATGTCGATAAAATTGTAAAAGACAAGATTATGAAAGTAGGTCACTATTGGGTCGCTGCCAATTTTCAATTTAAGATAATGAGACAATATCTAAATTGGTCCAACGACAAAGTGGCACCATGATCGAAGTTTTCAAAATAATTGTTTCCGAGAGTATGTAGTTACCAGTAATTCCCTATTTAATCCCTTGATAAATAGCATAAAGTGATTAAAATCGAGATGTTATAAGGATCTTGTCCTAAAGACAGTTGCTATTCAAGACGGTAAAAAAACTTTTTTTTTTTGCTATAAGTCTATATTGATTTTTCTAGAAATCGTATCAAGAATTTCTGAAATAGTAATGAAATGTTAAGTAGTAATAGCAGGAAGAAAGTTCAATATAAAACTTAGGTACCCACCTATTAACTATCGGACTTTTGTAGAAGTAAACTGAAGATTGGTTATAACAAAGGAAAATTTGTATGTTTTTATTGGTGGGCTATTGCACGTTGTTTAAATAAAATATCTCATTTTAGATTATTTGGAAAACTAAATTATAAAAAAACACATTGCAAAAACAAGGCAAAAGAGCAGCGGAAAAACCAACAAGCGTATACTCGGAACCTTATTAAATTTAAAAAAAAATCATAACGTCAATTGTGGATATTAGTTTCATACACTTTTCCTGTAGGTGATGCTACAGGAAAAGATAATCCGGATAACGCAAATTCAATCGCGAATAATATTAAAAGAAAAAAATAAGTCTGTTGTGTGAAACGGTCACAATAATAATTTTGTGATCAAATAAAATTAAAATATCAATCCGATTATTAATGAATGATATACTATTATATGTTTTGTACGCAGCGAGCGTACGGTCCGATGTTCCTCGGTGCTGATCGGAGCGCTGGGGCTGTCCCTGATAGCGCTGGCGGTGTACACAGCCGTGTTGGTGCTGGCCGAGTACAAGAGTCCACGCCCCTGCATCACCGAAGAATGCGTAGCCACAGGTACGTAGGTTTATCATGACCAATTTATTAACCAAGAGATTTCGAAATATTCGCTGAGAAATCGGTGGAATTAAGTAATAAACGTACCCCGCCAAATATAGAACCTCCTCCTTTTCGATTTTGAAGTTTTGAAGCGAAAACAGGCTGTAAACTATTCCGTTTCAAATGTTACTCTAGATCAGCGGGTTTGAATTTTTCAGGCGATAGAACCTTTTTGGAAATCGAATATTTAAAAAGAGCCTTAAAAATAAAACAAAACAAATATTCTTTATTATTATCTAGCTTTCCGCCAGCAGTCCTGTATTATACTTATAAACCTTCCTCTGAATCACTCTGTGTATTGATGAAAACGCATTAAAATCAGGGGGCGAATTCTACTCAACTAATTTTGATTAAATCGAAACGGATCGACGGATCCAGCTAAAATAGAACTGGAATTGTATCGTTTGTCACGTTGTAGAATAGGAAAACCATCAAAAACTGTAGTTTCGGTCGATTTTTAAACAAAATTTATTTAGTAGAATTGGCCCCCAGTTGTGTAGTCGGCATACAGACAGCGGAGAGCTACTTTGTTTTATACTATGTATAGATGAATAAATAACCTTTCCACATAATTTGCTTAACTCCGATTATTATTTGCCAAATATGCTTTGCAGAGCCATGTAGTTTTGGGGAGCACAATTTGAGAAACCCTGTAGAGCAGCGATTTAATATTATATACAGTAAAATGCAACACACTTTATTATAGGGAATATCAAATTAAAATTATCATATTCTATGATTATTGCATTCATAAAACTGCGTTAATTATATATATTTGTTTTTTCTAGAATATAAATTATAATTACTAGCTTAACTTAACGTGATGTAAGTTCACGGAGTCGTTGCGCTTTTAACTACACATGTCAAAGTAAATGAATGTAGAAAAATCATCATGTGAGCCACGTGCCGCCATAATGCGATCCACATGTCAAATAGTTTTCACGCGTCATCTAATATACATAAATGGACCACTGATACGTAATAACGTGATAATAACAGCGATTTTATCTTCAATAAAAATGTTTATAATTTACATCAACGATTAGTGCGTGCCATCGTAACTCGCACTAGATCTGCACTAATAGTAAATGAATGAGTATTGAGATCATTAAACAATATTAAAATAACAAAGTATTATGATACAATGCATTTAATAACATAAGTTTATGGAAATGTCCTTGCAATGTCAGGAGCTGATAGGTTTTTGCGTACATTATTTTTGTCAGCAAAAATACTCATAAGTTCTGCTAGATAAATTATGTTAATACGATTCAAAACTTATATATAACCTTACGTATTGAAATAAAAAACATAATTTGGATTTGATTAGAGGTGGCTGCAAATACTCAAGAATTAAACGCTTGTACTAGTCGACAGGAATCAAGTCTTTTAGGGGGAAAATATGGAAAAATACACTACGAATAGGGAAAAATAATGGTGGATCAGAGCAAGTCTTTTTATCCGCAACACTCATAATCAAATAACTATAAACACATATCTTGAAGACTAAGACAAACAAAATTTGTAGTTCAGTTACCACGTTAAATAAAATTGATATTCATTCATAATAAGTTTTTTTATTTATTTCCTTTGCGCAAAAAAAAAAACGAAAAATGTAACATTAACGCCATCTCTTGGTTGGTAGTTGAAAGGAAACAAAAATGTTATACCTTTTTATATTTTTCTCGACACGAGGCAAGCGCTCTATTTACATAAATTATATCAACTGCGCCATCTTCCATGGAAAATGATGTAACATGAAAATGCTATTGCGCTTCTGATGCATTATTAAATCCTAATGGATGTCCACTCGTGGACTAATAGAATGTGTTATAAATGTATTTGCATTGCAAAAATGTTTACGTAAAGAAAATGTTTAATAACTTAAATTAATTTGTCACTTTAATAAAATAATCAATTACTTACTACGAAAAATTCTTATTAATTGCTCCGTAAAACAACACCAAAATACATTTGCGCTTCTAGTCATAATAAAACGGAAGTAAAAGAACAACTGTTTTGATGAATACAATACATATACATGCCTTGTTTATTTTTATTTGTAATTTTTATGATTGAGTATTTTTGTTAGGCGACATTCATTGCTCCGGCTGGAGATCGAAGTATTTTTATTTCTATAATATTATTAATATAAGTTTATACCAACGAACAGCTTCAAGAATGATCGAATCTTTAAACAAAGACGTGGACCCCTGCACTGACTTCTATGAGTTCGCATGCGGCGGCTGGATCAAGAAGAACCCAGTGCCCGAATGGGCCTCCTCATGGGACCAACTGGCCAAGCTCAGGGAACAACTAGTCATCGATCTCAGGGAGCTTCTCGAAGCTGACGATGAGAAAGATTTGCCCGAAAGCGTCATGAAGGCGAAGTCTCTTTACAGGACCTGCATTAACATTGGTTAGCTATATATTTTTTATATTTGATTAAAGAGAAAACAAGCTCAGCGTCGCCGAGATACGAAAATTTGCATCACCCAAATTTTTTCTCAACACCTACGGGATATACCACAAATACTAGATTCAGTTAGAAACATAAATCCATGGTAATATGCTGAGACGCTTTTATATCTATATATATAAAATTCTTGCGTTACTGAGTGACAGACTGACAGACAACATACGATTAGGTTAGATTACAAAGTGAACAAAGTTTGTATGAAACTTCGTTACTACAACAAGTTAGCTAGGAGTTTCAAATTTGCATGCGGGTTCTTTTTAGGACATATGTGTCCACTAGGACGGGATTTTACGAAATTCGATCGCTAAGGGGGTAAATTAGGGCATGAAAGGTTTTATGGAATTTTCTCATTTCTGGAGTTAAAGCTAGACGTGTGGTCTACGCGTACGAAGTCGCGAGCTAGTTTTTTTATAAACACGTATGAACATCTAGATAAGCTGGAGGAGGACGGCATAAAGCCGATCCAAAAGGTCCTGGAGAAGCTGGAGCTGCCGCCGCTGCCGCCGCGCTCGCCCACAGCGAACTTCACGTGGGTGGTGGCGGCGGGCCGCGCGCGGCGAATGCTCGGCCTCAACGTGCTGCTCAGTGTGCAGGTGGCCGAAGACGTCCGCAACACCAGCAGGAACCGTATAGTGGTCTGTTTACAATACATACCACGCAAAAGATATCATCACATCATCACCAGCCCTTTCACGTCCCCACTGCAGGGGTTCAGGCCTTCCTTATGGATGGTTAAGGAGGATGGGCCATGACCCTCCACGCGGGCCTAATGCGGATTGGAGGGTATTGACGACTGCAAATGCAGCCGGGACCAACAGCTTAACGTGCCTTCCGAAGCACGGAGTAGCTCGAGATAATAATTTTTTGGTCACCCATCCCGTGACCGACCCTTGCGAAAGTCGCTTAACGACTACGATCGCGGGCCGCGGCGCTTATCCACTACGCCACCGAGCTACTCAAACCGAGCTACGCAAAAGATATACGCGAATGTTATAGAAATTCGACGACCAAAAACAATTTCAGAATTCTATTCTTATTTTTGGTTATAAAATAAAAAAAAAATCATCACTTAAATTGCAATCTAGATTACTTTTTAATCTAATTTTATTGCTCACTAGCTCTAGTACTCTACGGCTTTAGACAAGTGTACAAATAAAAAAAAAAACATATTGTGTTTACAAACCTTATCATAAAAATAACAAATACAACAAAAATTAGGAACCTAAGTTAAATTCTCAATATCTCAATAATAATGCTACTATTGAGCATTGGAACTAAAAAGCTTTTATTTGGATGCAGCGAGGCTCCTCCTGGGCAATTATTACTTTATGGCCATTGTATAATTATTTTGATAGTTCTCGTATCACTGTGATTAGATAGAGCAAGTGTCCCCTGGGTTCAGCGACCGGTACTTGCTGCAGCCGGAGCAGTTTGCGCACGAGGTCGGCCAGTACAGGAAATACATCCGTGACGTCATCGCTCTCTCTGACCCCACTATCAACGCCGACGGTTTCGCCGATGACATCGTCGAGTTCAGCAAAAGTCTAGCTAAAGTTAGTAGCACCACTCTCATTATGCTAAAGTGTTAATTTAACTGCTATCTCATCGACCCCTTTCTCTCACTCAGTTTATTCGTCTAATCTATCTTTCTTTTGTTCTCCATATACTTTCGCCTCCATCATCCTCTTATTAACTTTAATTACTTCCCTTCTCATATGTCCGTTCCACGGCAGACGCTTTAGTGTTAGCTTTTCCATTACCTACTGATACCATTTTCAAACTATATATTGTTGGAAATAATATGTGCCTTTATACACGCCCGATGCGTAAATGTATTTAGTTAGCACAATTACATCAACCTTCCATTAATATAGATAACGTTTCTACTTATCTTGTAAGTAATGCTAAAACCAGCAAATATAAGACAAAAAACTAATCAAAATTTTTGTAGCTTAATCCATCATTTAGATTATTCAATTTTAAAAAGAAATTATTTGTTTCGTTTAGATCATGACCCCAGTGGAAGTGCGTCGCAGTGGAACACACCTGTTTCATGAAGTGAGCATGCAGCAACTGATCCAGGGTTCTAACGGAGGACCGGCTGAATGGAAATCGGTAAGAAGTTTATCAACAATTACAATACTTAATAATAATAAAAAAACACTCATCAATCCGCACTGGGTTTGCGTGATTCCGGAAGATGCCAATGTGCGATTCTATCCATAGGCAAGGCACGTACCCCGGCAGCAGTGGAAACACGATTTTTTGATTATTATGATCCAACCTTCGTCTTTCTTATTAAGAAGAGACGAGTAACAATTTTTCTATTTTCGTTTACGTCTCTCGTGTTATCGCAGCATGATTGGGAGCGGTACATGTCCTTGGTGTTCGCCAACACCAGCGTGAGTCTGCAGGGAGTGACGGACCGCGTGATAGTGATGGACCTGCCCTACCTGCACAAGCTGGCCACCCTGCTGGCGGACGCGCCACCACTGCTGCTCGGTAAGTTATACTCGCCAACCAACTCCAGCGTGAGTAAAGCGTCTCAGAATTCGAATTTTTAATTTAAATTTTAACTTGAGAGAAAAAAAAATATATATTTGATCAATAATAATTAATTCTTTCGTGTTCCTATCACCTTTATGCAGACGATCTCCAAATTTACTGCGAAGCACCGCTGTCTAGATTAAATGAGGCAATAGCAAACACTAACTTTAACCTCCAACTCATTGCAGAATGGAGTAGAGCTTTTGGTCTTAGCGTCAATCCTGTTAAAACCCAAACCATGATAGTAGGTAGCTCTAGATTACTTTCCAGAGTTGATACGCAGATACTTCCGAAAGTTGTTTTTGAGGGGGTTGACATTCCTTTTAGTCAAACAGTAAAAAATTTGGGGGTGGTAATGGATGGCCATCTGGGTTGGGGTCCACAGCTTCAATCTATCAGTCGCAAGTTATATGCTTCTGCCGCTTTACTGAGGAGACTGCGTAACTTCTTGCCCACTACCACTAAGGTTGCGTTAGCGCAATCTCTGCTGCTTCCTGTTCTCGATTACGCTGACGCTTGCTACCTTGATCTTTCGGAGGACCAGCTAAATAAACTTGAGCGTCTTCAAAACTTCTGTATCAGATTCATATTTGGTTTGCGCAAATATGACCATGTTTCCAACTATCGCAGTGAACTCAAGTGGCTTCCTATACGACTTCGCCGGAATTCTCGATTATTATCTCTTCTCTACAATATTTTGTTCAATCCCACTTACCCTCATTATCTCAAAGAACGTTTCAGTTTCCTGCACTGCACAAATTCTTACACATTGCGATCATCCGAGAGCCTGAGTCTTGAGATTCCATCTCACTGTACTTCTTTTTACGATTCTTCTTTCACTGTACAAGCTGCTCGTCTCTGGAATTCCCTTCCAGTTTCGATAAGGCAAGCGAAATCTTTGCAAATTTTTAAAAATAGTGTAAAGGAATTCTACCTTTCACAATGAAATATCCTGCTACTGCCGAGTATAACTATTCCTGGTATTGATAATATATATGTGTGTATGTATATTACGTATTTATCGGATATATTTGTATTATGAATGTATTCACTACATATTTTTGAACATTTTTTCTTTTTAATGTTATTGATAATATTTACACACCCCCGTCTTCATAAATTGTTATCTCTCTTTCCATCCCATGGTTGCCTGGAAGAAATCGCTTTAAGCGATAAGGCCGCCAATTGTTACATTGTATTGTAAAATGTTTTAAATTTGTTAATGTAACTTTGTGTAATGTTAACAATAAAGAATTTTCTATTCTATTCTATAATAATTCATTTATTTTTTTTACAAATAAACTACAAATAATTATATATTTTTTTGCTTGTGAAGAATATGGCATAAAACTTGTTGTCTCGTATACCTATACTATTCGTAGGTATACGATCGTTATCTACCATTGTGACTTGCAAAATGTTAACAATTTAAACTTTCTAATGTTATTTATGAACTTTCAATTTATGTCATACGTAAGTATTTGAAAAATTTTATCAGGTAATGAAAAGAACTCGACCGTATCATCATTAAGTAACTTTTCCCGATCGAAATAAAGATAATACCGAAGATATAGTGCATTTGCAAACATGCGAGATATTTTTAAAGAGAATATGACTAATCAGTTATTAACAGGTATATCGAAATAAATTGGAGTACCTAAATGGCAAATGAAAAAAAAGGGGGCCATATATTAATTAAGTCACAAGAATAAGTAATTTTTTACACGTGTACAGTTGTATAGTACCTACCTAAGATGGTCAGATGCAAATCGCTAACGACCAATAATTTTCGCTCCGTAAAGTCGTATTGCGGTTAAATGTAAGCCAGCGGAATTCAATAGTTTAGTAGGTAGGTATGTACATCAACCAAAAAAACACTGACGTAGTTGTGAAAAAGCAGAAAATAAAATTTGAGGTTTTTTTAAATAAAAGGGGTCCCTTGAAACTGTATAGTCAACAGTCCACGGACCAGTATAGGTTAGGAAACGTTATAGATGAAGATCGTAGATTCTAACGGTTTATTATGACAATTTGTGCGGAATTGGAATATGATGTCGTCGTGTCGTGGTCACAGAGCGGTTCCTGTGGTGGTCGGTGTTCTCGACGCTGGCGCCGATGTCGCGCGCGGTGTACCGCGACCTCGGGTTCGAGTTCTCGCGCGCGGTGTTCGGGCTGCAGCAGCGCACGCCGCGCTGGAAGAGCTGCACCGCCAACGCCAACGCCAACTTCGGCGTCGCGCTCAGCTACCTGTACGTCAGGAAACACTTCGCCAACCACTCCAGGGAAAAGGTCACACTCGTATTACCTTAATAAGATTAGATTGTAAGAGATGAAATAAAACACTTACTTTTTACCATGCAAAAAAATATGTAAAATTAAATCTGCCAATATTAATAACATTAGATCTGTGTCCTTATGTGAAAATACGAGTGATCTGAGCAAAGAGAAAATTAAAGCAACTTCAAGTTTTACTATTTCCAATAAGAGGACCACTAAAAGCTTACTCAGATAGACTTGTGTACAAAAACATACTAACGTTATATATTTTTTTAATTTATTTAAAAGAGTCAATAAATATTTTGAGGTAATAGAAAAAATCATCGATGAAGTACGCCATAAAATGAAATTTTGTATAGAAACATGTCTACGCACTTCATTAAAGTGAAAATTACTCAAATAAACACAAATCGCTTTCCAACACAGGCGATAGAAATGGTGGAGGACGTGCGTGAAGCGTTCGCCGAGGCGGTCCACCAGCTGGAGTGGATGGACTCGAGCACGCGGCTGAAGACGCTCAGCAAACTGCGCGCCATCAGGAACTTCGTCGGCTTCCCCGCCTGGCTGCTCACGCGCAAGCAACTCGACGATCATTACAAACACGTCAGTGGACCATTTTCATACCTGCACCACCATCATCACCACCCTATTAATGTCCTAAGTTAGGACCTACCAAGAACATTTTAGGTGTTTCCTCGGCCCTACCGATGTATTCGAGGCATTACCAAAAGTTCTAAAACAGCTACACAACTACATTGCATTAAGTCCATGTAGTGGTATGAGGAGAATAGTATGTATGTGAGTATTTAATAACATTTAAGTGTGGAAACTTGTTTGAAACGACATTAAAAGTAGCAACGCGATGCTCCGGACAAACATGTCTGCGTGTGTCTCTATTAAAGGCATCGCAATTCCTGATTACCTACTTAACGATTTTAAAAATCGACAATAAAATGATTGTTTTATGTAACAGTTCGAAAACATTTTAAAGCGTTTTTCATAAAAAAGTGGATTTTATGTTTTTACTTTGACATCTAATATCTACGTGAACTATGGTTTCCCAGGATTATTTCAGAACAAAAGTTGTCAGTATTAATGACCCCAACATGTACCTTTCGGCTTCGTTATGATTTTAGTGCCAAACGTTATTATTGGACTTTATCTAAATAGTACAATGACAAAATGCAAGTATTTGCGATACTATTGAGATGCTATTATTACGTAAACGTTAGCAGAAATGGCCTGCAGGCGGAGAATGGACTATGACCTCATGGACCCAGTGCGGATTGGTCAGTATAAACGACTTCAGGTGCAGCCGCCGGGACCAATCGGCTTAACGCGCCTTCCGAAGCACGGAGGTGTCCGAGATTATACATTTTTGTCACCCATCCTATGACCGACCATTGCGAAAGCTAAGCCACCATATCGCATACCGAGAGCGCTAACCCAACGCGCCAACGAGCTCTTATTTTATTATAGCAAGTACCATGGAACAAAAATAAATTATTACATAATTCAAAAATACAAACATGATTTCCCATTTCTTATAAGAATATGACAAAATATGGCTCAGAAGTAGGTCCTAAAATTGGAAAGTTGGTTTTGTTAAATAGATCGGAGCCCAATTTTGAGAAACACTGCTATAAAATACGATCTATAAAAAGCTATGCAGTAAGCAGTCTCAACTAGAAAATCTAAAAATAATACTCAGAACAAAAACTTTTTCTTTTACATTTCGCAGGCCGAAGTAGTAGAAGGAAACCTATTCGAAACGTATCTAAAGTTGACCTGGGCGGCAGTGAAGAAGTCCCTAAACTCCTTGAGAGAAAAACCGGATAGGAACAGGTACGCAACTTTAGACGTAAAATCAAGGAACTGTAGGTAACATTATATTTAAACTTCTTTTCTTTCTTTAAGATGGGTAGCGACTGCGACTACGGTGAACGCGTTTTATTCAGCAACACTGAATTCAGTCAGTAAGTAAATTTGTCTTGTGTTGCGCTTTTTATACTTATAGCAACTTTATATAAATCGATACACTAACGCATTTCTTTTCTTTGCCGCAGCATTCCCTGCTGGAATTCTACAACCACCATTTTACGGAAATGGATTGGAGTGAGTACAAGAAGACACATTTAAAGAATATAAAATTCTTTATTCTATAAATAAAGAATATAAAATTTCATAAATGCCTCTTACCAAAGCGAAGAGATCAAGAATACCCAAATATGCTTATTTGGACATTTTGAAATATACAAAGGGTTTAGAATATAGCTGCAAACCGTCCTGTTTTCTCAGGACATGTCCTGGATAGTTTTAAAGCAGCGTCCTGGGTTTCAAAGGGTCATGCATGATGTATTTGTCTTACTTATAACACGAACCACGAGAGTTCGCACTACGCGACTGTTGTAGTATGACTGAGTCAAGTTTTTAAGCTGATTTGTCCCGACTTTTCCAATCGTTATATTTTTTATTTTATTTTAAATTTGGGTTGGCAACCATAGTTTGGAAAGATAATTAGGATGTGTGAATTTCATCCTGAGAACGAAAACAATTAACTGTTCAGAATAAACTATATATTTTTTGTATAGGATGAAGTATTAAGAATTTTTAATTATTTTTAGAGCGATCAATTACGGATCTATCGGTGCTATAATGGGACATGAAGTTACCCACGGCTTCGATGATCAAGGTGAGTTCAAGCTATTTCGCCTTTAGAAGGGGGGAGTGGTTCACTCGCTGGTTACAAGGCGAGAATTTGTTACTCAATAAAACAAATTTTGAACTTTTATATTTTATATTTTTGAACGTTTCGGAACCTTTGCAGACTCCATGGTCTTCATCAGTGTCACGTAGGATTAGCGTGACATAGACAGTAGAAACGTTCGTTAGTTTTTTTCGCAATCACAATGAAACGAGCGATAAGTAACGTATAGATATTTGATGTGAGTGGTGCCCGGTGTGCGCAGGTCGGCGATACGACTCGGAGGGCAACCTGAAGCAGTGGTGGTCGGCGGCGACGCTGGAGCACTACCACGGCCGCGTGCAGTGCATCATAGACCAGTACAGTCGCTACCACATGCCGCAGCTGCCCAACTATACGGTCTACACTTATTCATTACTCGTTTCTGAGCAAGCAAATATTTCCTATACCCACTTAACAAAAAAATATTACTAGTTAATAATATTACTAGTGTAATAATAATATTACTAGTGGCAGACGAACAGACGGGTCACCTGATGGTAAGTGATTACCGTCGCCCATAGACACCTGCAACACCAGAGGGGCTACAAGCTACCGTAACAGATTCTGATTTTTCTAAAATGTTAATCAGATTTAATTATTTTTGGAGAACAATAATGTCGGATGTATCCATGGAGTAGACGGATGTATGAAACCGAAAGTTCATGTTTCCGAGAACCACCGTACTTTTCCATATAATTACCAGATGTTCCTATGTTTACTTAGAAGTCTTTTTGTGTACCTATGAGTTTAAAATTGTTTTTTTTAAATTCTTAGTTTTACCTACGCATACCTACTCGTAAGAGATCATGCTGTACTCGTTCAAATAAGGTAGCTTTTTCCGTTGTTTAACACCCGGTTTCTGAATTGAGAATTTGAAGTTGAGCACGTCTCAAACCATGACTTAATCCATTTTAAACGTCAATTAAACAAGTTTTCACTACTTATTTATAATTTTTTAATGATCTGTTGATAGCAATTTGATAAAACTAGGACTTTTTTCTATATGAAACGTAAAAAACTTAAGTTATTGAGAATAATCAATTGAGATTTTGTGTTCTTCTCAATTCAGAAACCGGCCGTATGTCACTCAACACGGCAAAAACGTTCATTTTCTAAAATATTTTTAACTGTTTTTACAAGTTGACATGTAAATTAGCTGCAGGAGCATTATGAGCATTATGATATTAAAAAAAAAATTATATATTGAATGGAGGCTTACGTGTCGATTGAACCTGCCCGAAGCCCGAAGCCGAAACGTCTCGCTCGTTTAACTGAGGATTAAGAATGTACCTTCCTAACATTAACGTAACAGCATTACGTACTCAACTGTACCTACCGGTGAGGGCTCGCATGTAACGGGAGGTGTTGTACGTGTGCAGGTGCACGGCATCAACACGCAGGGCGAGAACATCGCGGACAACGGCGGCCTGCGCGCCGCCCTGCGCGCCTACACGCGCCACGCCGCCCGCCACGCGCTGCCCCCGCGCGCCCTGCCCGCGCTGCCCTACCAGCCCCTACAGCTCTTCTATCTGGGGTTCGCGCAGGTACTGTACCTACACGCTGCCCTACCGGCCCCGACAGCTCTTCGTTCGTTCGCACAGGTGGTACTCGGACCCTTCAACACCTGCACTCCAACTTTGTACGTAATAGAACTACTTAAAAACATTTACTGGAATCCACTGCACAGCGCATGCACTAAGAAAAAATTATATATTTCTATTCCTTTTCTGCACATGCTGTGGAGTTTATAGAATTCTCTCCCGGAGGACGTCAGGCACACTCGCTCACTGAATTCTTTCGGCGATCGAGTTGAAAGCTATTTCCTTTCTCTATACTAATGCTATTTACTTCTGACTATTGCACCCAATACCCCATATTTTCCCTTTCCTTTTATTATTCTCCTCCATGGATTGCCTGGAAGTGATCGCTGTTTAGCGAATAAGACCGCCTTTTGTGTACTCTGTATTATTTTTGCAATTTACTATAACCATGTAATATTTTGAATTCGTAATTTATTTATCAAACAATAAATTCAATGTGACCTAGGTATAATATAAAAACTATGTAGACCATATAGTACGAGTCGGCGAGAAAGATAACAATAACTATAGGACATCATGAGGAGATTCAAATACTTAGGTCAACTTTAACTTTCCGAGTGTGAATTTTCTTTCATGATGCATGGTTCAAATTTAAAATATAACGTTTTCCTCAGATATGGTGCGGCAACTCTACTGTAGGGGCGTTGAAATCCAAAATGGTGGAAGGAGTGCACAGTCCAAACAAAATCCGAGTGATAGGCACCCTCAGCAACTCAAAGGAGTTTGCGGAAGCATGGCAGTGCCCCCTCGGCTCACCCATGAACCCCGAACACAAGTGTGTGCTGTGGTAGCCACCGCTCCAACAAATGTGATCTTAGTTATAAGTTAACCAAAGACATTTACTCTGCTAGGTTACCTTATAGTTACCGCCTTAGTTATATATAAGTGTACAAAGTTATTGTCACAGTGCGCTCAAATTTAGCAGAATTATGAAGATATAAGTGAATAAAGTTCTAGTTAAGATATCGCAAAGACTGAATGAAGGAATTTATTCCAGTGTTATAAGCAGTGTTGAAATGTCGAATTAGGTTCAAGTATCCATGCCTGCAAAAATATGATATTAATGATTTGTAATTATTTTTTTAAAATATACTTGTGACTGCCAGGTGCTAACAAATTTTGACAATTATAAAAATAACTATTTATTACAAATAAAATAAAAAATTACTAATAAAAGGAATTTTATTTTTTTCTAATGTAAGGAAATTCATATACTGGCGCTGAGACCTTGGTACCCCTTTTAATTTTCTTTGGCTTAAGAATTTTCGCATCCTGTAAATGTCGTTTCATTTCCATTTTCCTTTGAATCAATGTCAGTTCTTTCTCTCTTTGTATTCTTTTAGCTATCTCTTTGTAAGTTCTCTCTTTTTTCTTCTTCATGATTTCTACTGTCTGGAAAATAGATAATTCTTAATTGAAAATATACTACGTAAATTTGTTTCATTGCTGTTAACCAAATTTGATGACCATGAAATTGAAAACATCTTCTTAAGAGTTTGCTAGACAATTTTTTAAGTCCATACAGCAATGACGTTTTATTATTAGACACATCCTACCCGTACAATAGTGTGTGTTAAAACAGCATATACTTAATTGTGGTAGTGTAACATTATAATACAACCACGAAGGGTGCGAAGTAATCAAAAATAGTTATCTCCCTATCAGAATATTCAGCATACCTCTTGTTAGAATGAGTAAACATACTTGCATTGTTTGCATAGCTTTACGTGTCAACTTATATCCTCATAGAACATGATGCACGAAAAATGGACACGTTCAATGATGTTTTATTATTTTTAGTAAAGTAAGTACTGTACTTACAGATGAAATTAAATCTTTTTTGCATTTTTCATTCTCAATGTGTAATTCACAGAAAATTATAAACGTGACTAGTGAAACTCAGGCAATGGCCTTGTTTTTTTTTGCTTATTTATTTAATCTTTATTGCATAAAACATCAAACGGCGGACTTAATGCCAAGGGCATTCTCTACCAGTCTACCAGACAGAAAGTAGGAAGCAAAATGATGTGCGCAGATAACCCATCTAAACTTTTTAATACATCATTGCCATACAGGTGTAGTACACTTATGGACCATCATAGCCAATAAGTTAAAAAACCCGTAAAGTATCACATAATGCCACTAAAAAAACTTAACTTGTTCATCACTAGCTGAGTTCATAATGTAACAGGTACTTTCCTGTTACTTTACTTAAATTATAGCCTATGTCATTTGCTGTGAAAATATTTTTAATATCTTCAGTAGTTTTCCAAAGGTTAGGAAGCCCATTCAATAGAAACAATCAAATCGTTCTAGTTTACAATATTAGTGCAGGATTGATATAGCCTAGATGTTACTGGCCGAAAATGTACCTTCATATTAGAGATGGAATTTCTAAAATTGGTCTTTTAGAGTTCACCCACTAAAAATCAAATCATCAATATTTATTTGTAACATAACTTATTACTCATGAATTAAGCAGCAACACTACATACCTCCACATCAACATCAGGTAAAGATATTTTTTTCAAATCTGATAACTTAGGTCTGTTTGACTTCCTTCCTAGCAGTGATGGATGAGTATCCAGTCTCTTGGCAATGTCAAATGTCTTTTCATCTCCCTCATCTACAAAGAATATGTGGGTGTTTGGAGTTGAATCAGCTATATCTGTCATGTGCAGGTGAGACTGGAAAATGAATAAAACAATGGAATAAAAAAAAATCAAATTTTATATTATTCAAATAAGCATCAGGAAGTTCAAAAAATGTGAAAATGAAATAATTAAAGATAGCTTTATGTTAATGATTTTTCATATAATTTATGTTTTATTGTTGCAGTCAAAAATATGGTTGAGACATTAAGCATATTGAAGAATAATATAATGTTTCATTAATTATAACTCATAGACTCTCTGAGTGTATTGTTCTTAACTTTACAATAATAAACAGCTACTCCCTCATGGTCTTGTATATAATAGTGAAATGTGACTCATCACAAAAACTCAGAAGCTACAAGTGCTAGGAGTTTCAAATTCTACATGCAGGTTCTTTTTAGGATATAGGTATTCACTAAGACAGGATTTTATGAGATTCAACTCCTAAGGGGGTAAATTAGGGGATGAAAGATTTTATGGAATTTTCTCATTTCTGGACTTAAAACTAGATTACACGGGCAAAACTGCTGGTGAAAGTCTAGATTCTTCCTTTTGAATCACTCTGTATATTGATGAAAATGGCAATGAAATTGTATTGTAGTTTAAGAAATCAGAGTACAGACAGCAGGAAGCAACTTTGTTTTATCCCATGTATAGACTTTATAACAAAATTAGAATTAGCTTTGTTATTTAGCTATTTTATTGAAATAAACTGTTGGAATATACCTGTAACCTGTTGATTCGTCTACTCTCAATAGTCCTCTTCATGTTGATATACTTTATGTCTTGGGTTTCCATCAGCTTCATCTGTTCTGGGGTAAATTCATCATCTTTTTCCAATTCATGATGAACCTGTAACGGAAACGCATGATTAATGAAAGATCTCCACATTATGTGAATGTACAGTTCATATTTGATCATACTTACACCATCTTTTATTCTTGAGTTTATCATATGAAAATAAAATTCGTCTGGGTTTTTGTCAAGTGTGCGCTTACGCAACAGCTTAAGAGTCTTTCCCTTTTCATGATAGTCCTCTGCACGTTTCTTGTAATCTTTCTTCTTTTCTAAAAGCCCTAAATGTTTTCTGGACTCTGGCTGATGTCTCTCTTTGTGGGTTTTTTGATTTGCTTTCGCAGCTTTTTTCCAAGACGACATTGTTAGAGTATCAAATACACCAAAAAATATACTATAATTTTGTATATACGAACAAAACTAAAAATAAAAAGCGTAAAAATATAATGTACACGAACTCGTGCTGCCTATGTCGCGAATGGTCTTCTCTTCTTTTTCTTTTAATAATGGCTTATCTGCACATTTAGAACAATTCTACCCAAGTCAAGTAAATAAATTAATTTCCACATATAAAATAAAATAAATGAAAGACAGCGTGGTTTCAAACGTGTTCTGTGGTGGTCTCGATTGCGGTAGGGATGAGCGATATTCATCGATGTTGAATAAGCATCGATGTTCAACTAGAAAATATCAATATATCCTTAGGATCATCTAACATGCTCTAGCTAGAAGTATTAGCTAGATGATCTCGTTAATCAAGTTCAACTATTTTCCACTAGATGTTTCCGGTTGGACTCGTAACTGGAGTAACCAAACAAAAAGATTTTTCTTTGCTTGCATTTTCCAAGAAAGTTAAAAATAAATCTGTCAACTTCAGCGCTCTTTGATACCCTATAATTAACCGATAACGTACTTCAATGACTTTTACGATTTTATAGGATATTTTGAGAACAAAAATAAATAAGTTGCCTGTAAGAAGATTACGATACCAACTGCTTGCTGTTTTTGTTTTGTATTGAAGGTGTCAAGGTTCAATTCTTTTTTTCGGAGTGGGGTAGCTTCGCATATTTGAGTGATGACTTATGCTAAACTAACAAAAGTTCGTCTCACGAAAGAAGTCCCTCGGATCACAATGTTTTCGCTTTTATTACAAAGGAATAAGAGTTATGCCGTGAGATTTCTTTCATGACAGATATTCTTACTAAACTTCATATTGCAAAATAGGGATGATCGATGAACATCGATTTTTGATAATCAACGATGTTAAATGCAAAAAATTCTATGTCTTCACATCGATGTTGCTATACGAAAAATAACGTAACATCGATCTTAACAACATCAATCATCAATGGTAATTCACGACCGCACACAAAACCATTGCATTATTTAATATTTGATAATTTTAAATTAAATTAATCGATATCACCAAAAATATCAAATTTTGATAAAAGAAAACAGAATTTTTATGTATCTAATACATACATGTCTTGAAATACACATTTAACATACATGTTCACAAAAACTGGCTCTACTCTTTATCAATAAAGAAATAGATTAAAAGGTTTTTCCTTATCAAAATTAGTTTTCTTAAATCATTGGATATAATATATTGGAATATGTAATAATCTGTTCTGTCACTTAATAACTTACGAAAGATTTCACTGTATTTTATTTCTTTGTAAATTATGGCAAAAAAAATATCGATATTTGGACGATGTTGGGCTTACGATGATGACATCGATGTTTTTTAATATCGAACATCCCAAATTGCGGCGATTTTTTTTTTTATTCTTTTCACCCATTTCAGAGTAGGCAATAAACTTTCACCTAAACAGCCACATCATATCCATAGATCACTAAAGATGTAGCAAATCATATCGATTGCGGAGAGATTTAAGATTGAAGATAGGTATCATTGCCATCTTTCATTCATTTCATTTTCATTTTACATGTAAAAAATAATTTATTTACTTGACATTGGCAGAATTGTGCGAAATGCGCAGATAAGCTATTAATTAAAAAAGAAGAAGAAGACGTTTAGCTGTCATTAGAGCTGCATGGCATACACTACATTCCAATCTATTAAAGTGGCAATGAGATAATTTCCTATTGTGGCCACGAATATAAAAATCATAAAATACGGGACCATATACTAAGATTCCGCTGTCCGTCCATCTATCACTCTAGGCTATATCTCATAAACCGAGATAGTTGATGTTAAAATTAATTTTGTAAACCTATATATAATTATATATACCTATACCTATTTAGTAATATATGATAAATAAAATCATCGAGTTTTGTATGTCTCTGTCAAGTGTGTAAGAGACATAACGCACATCCCTATTCACCCCAATCAAAAAATGCATTTTTATAATCATAAAACGAAATAGAGAAGTTCTTTGACCAAAGTACGCAATAATATATCTATGACTATGATGTCTAAATAAGAAATATGATAAAATAAAACTCGAACAAACGCAAACAAATCATTCCCATAGAATATATATATAATGATTCGATAAAATTACATTTCTCGACTGCGTCCGATTGCAACCGGAAGTTTAACGAATATAAAAGATAAAAACTCGATAGCACTTAAAAATCCGACACCCAAAAACATGCTGAAGACACCACCCAACGACGCTGTAAAAAACGTTTAATCATGTTTTAGTATATTTCTCGTATCTTCTTAACAACATCATTGTTTTCTCAATAATTTAACCTATCAGTAAAAGTAAGTTATTTATTTGATTATGACATAGTTTTAAACTTATAAAAATTATTACTAGTTTTGTCTAAAGTTTTTTCTGACGTACATGGTATATTTTTATTACATACTATTTTGAAGTTTTTTCAAATGCCATTTAATAGTTTATAATTCTAGAGAATCAACGGCAAACTTAGAAAATTAAACTTGCCATTGATTATCTAGAATTATAAACTATGTAGGGTACGGGCACTAGTAGTCAGCCCCGCACCAGTAGTCAGCCTTTTCCATCTAATAACCTATAGGAATAGCGTTCTATTGCAAATTAACCAACCAAGTCACGTTTGAAAACAGCTTTGCCTTCTTATTGGTCGGTTCAAAACATACCAATGACGCTATATGGCTGCAAGAAACAGTAATCCGAGTCCATTTCGTCGTTGACACCTGTCGAGGCAAGAGGCGACGTGCGCGCCAAATTTTTTTTTAGTGGGAAGTGTCCGAGAAAAAGGTGAGTTTTTGTGTATTTTTACGAACTTGTATATCATGATTTATTAAAATATACTGTAATTATATTTTTCACATCAAAATAAAATAAGTAATAGAACAGTTTCTTTATAGTTATTTAAATAAGGAGGGGGCTGACTACTGGATATGCGTTTCTTGTACATTATCCAGTACTCGGCCAACCCCGGCTGAGTACTGGATTTTATGCTTTTTTTTAAATCGGGATCTTATTCGTATCATTTTAAAGTTAGTAATTCATCCTTTAATTTAATATAGCCATGTCATACATAATTTCATCAAAAAACCAGTAGTCGGCCGCCTAACTAGATACGTTCGAACCACGGCTGAGTACTGGTGAGAGTGGACCCAGTGTTCAGCCGTCAGTGACTTACGTTGCTTAGTTTATTAATTTATTTAATTAGCACCTACCTACCAAGTAGTTTTTTTAGTTTTATGGCATTGTTTATTGGTTTCAGTTCTGTATGTCTCTTTCGAGGCCCATATTACGATACCCCGAAGAAAAACTAACCCAAGCTTTAGACGCTATCAGAAATGGCATGCCAATTAGAGAAGCTAGTAGAAACTATGGAGTTCCTCGGGGCACAATTCAAGACAGACTTCATCTTCGAGTACCTGAAGGTCCTCGAAAAATGGGTCCCGACTCCGTCCTTAACCAACAAGAAGAAGCGGAAATTGCAACGTGGCTGAAAGACATTGCAATTTGTGGTTTCGGAAAGAAACCTGACAATTTATTTAATACTGTCCAGGACATGATGATTGAAGACGGCAGGCCCAATCCGTTTGTAAATGGAAGACCAGGCAAGAAGTGGATGAATTCTTTTTTCAAACGCAATAATATATTTTCAATGAGAACATCTGAAAATATTTCAAAGGGAAGAGCAGTAATCACTGAAGAGAGTATTAGAAAGTGGTTTGAAACACTGACAGATTACTTAACTGAAAATCAAGCACTCGACGTGTTAAAAGACCCTAAAAGAATACTAAACGGTGACGAAACAAGCTTTATGCTTTGCCCAAAAACCGGAAAAGTAATAGCACCCCGAGGATATAAAAATGTATACCAAATGGTAAAGGGTAAAGAAAAGGAAGCAGTCACCGTTTTAGCATTTTTTCCTGCAATGGGCGATATTTTACCTCTCTGTGTAGTTTTCCCGTACATCAGACCACCCAAAGATGTCATAAATAGCATGCCTGATGGTTGGTTCCTCGGTAAATCTGACACTGGTTGGATGAAGGCAGACATTTTCTACGATTATATATCTAAATGCCTATCCAACTGGATAGATGAAAACAGAGTGAAGAAACCAGTGCTTGTTTTTGTCGATGGCCACAAAACTCACATGACAATGAAGCTCAGTAAATACTGTCACGACAATAATATCATTTTGTACGCACTGCCACCCAATACAACACATCTGATGCAACCAGCAGATGTTAGCGTTTTTAAACCACTAAAATCTGAATGGTCGAAAACTGTTCATGATTGGTGTTCACAGCCACAAATCGTCGTTTTGTCCATTGTTGAAAAAAGTGCTAAGTAAAGAATCTCTGAAAGAAGCCATCAAAAATGGGTTCCGTAAATGTGGCCTTTTTCCATTTAATCCAAGTGCAGTAGATTATTCAAAATGCGTGCAAAATATATTAGAGAAAAAGAAAGCATCTACCAGCAAGATGACTCCTCCAAGTAACATCGAAAAAGGAGATTTTGATATTACATCAAAAGTTATAAAGCATTTGCGCAATAATTTGAACGCAAGAGGTGTTGATGTAAATGTTGTACTCGAAATTGTTGAAAATGCAAAACTCATTGAAGAATTTAATTATTCAGTAAACAGTAATACTACAAAGACAGGGGTTGCGGATAATGAACAAAGCGTAATAGTTGAAGAAAGAACAGAACCTGAATTGACAGTAACGAATATCAGTACCATTATCAAAGAAACTGAAAAAAATGCAACCAAAGAACATTTATACGTAATAAGAACTGAAGAAGAAAAAAAATACAAAAGAGAAACTGAAATAGAAAGTGATAGTTCTAGGATCGATGGTAAAAAAGATGATAAAAGTAAAATAAATACACCACAATCCGAAACACTAGATACTGATAATAGTTTAAATAATCTTGCACTTGGGGATCTCACTTTTCTTAATAACAATTTGGTGGACGATGATATTCATGTAATTACCTTCGAAGTCAATGACAGTTCAATATTAGTACCCATCGAAGACAACTCTCCGATCTCAAGAAGTGAGAAAAACTGTCATCAAAAACCTAAGACCGATTCTGTCATACAAATTCGGTCGCCGAAAGTGTCACCTTTTGTTCGAAAGCATCTCATTATACCGTCACCAATAAAAAAAACTACAACTCCTAGAGTAATGAATAGAATCGGAGCAATATCTTCTGAAGAATGGAGGCAATTTGAAAGTTTGAAAGAGGAAGAGAAACAAAAAAAGAAAGATGCTATTGAAGAAAGAAAGTTACAGAGACAGAAAAATAAAGAAGAAAAGCAGAAACAAAAAATTGAACGCAAGAAGATTAAAGCTGTGAACTCTACCAAGCGTAAAGTAAAAGGACTTACTACAAAGAAGAAAGATGATGATTCTGATCCAGAATTCATTCTAGAAAGCACTAAGAAAAGAAAATTTAATGATATAAAAGATAAAGCAAAAGAAGGAGAGCAGACTAACTGTGATTTAGTGAAAGTTAAACCAAATAAGATTAAAATCCTCAGTGATATACTCATAACGCCTGGAACTCCTGCCAAAGAAACTAATAAAGAAAACAGAATTATTAATCGTAGAGAAACCTTTAGAAATGAAAAAGAACTTGAGGATTTTTTGAATAGTGATATTAATGACGAATAATTTAATTTAGTTTCTTGTGATATAAGAGTACCTTCTAAGGTCTTATAATTTAACATTGATTAAGTTCCTAGATAATTAAGCTTGAAATTAATGATCTCAAGAGAGGCTGACTACTGGTAGTAATATGGCCGAGTACTGGTTTGTGACGGCTGAGTACTGGGGAAATGTGCCTTATTTTAATAAATACTTTATTTTCAATACTTATTAAAAAATATTATGGTATCTGTTGATTATGTAACAAAGTTTAATAAACGATTAAGTGAATGAGTATAAAAGGTTTTTGATTACTGTTTTGAATAATTTTCTATACATATGTAAACTTGCGCTTTCCACTAAAAGGCTGACTACTGGTGCCCGTACCCTAATAGTTGCACTCGATTTTTTTTAAGAGCCCTGTCGACTGCACCTATTAGGTAGGTACTAAAACTTACATAGTAGAGTAAGCCAGGTCTCCGTTGGCAGTAAAACAAAAGTATTAGAATCCTTTGCATTGATTGTAAGTTTCATTACAATCGATTGAGAAACGTTGAACCCTAGCCTGCAATAATAAAAATAAATGTAGTAGCAGCTGCTTTCCCAGTTGTAACAACAGCTGTAAAAGGCCTTACTGCGCATAAGTTACTAAAAATCAACAACAGTATACCGGGAGCCACAAAATGACCGACACAGCCGAAAGTTTCAAGTCAGGTTACATGCAAACATCATTTTATTTGACAAATATTTCAAAATAAAGAAGGTGTAAAAATGGAGTATTTTTTTATTTTTATTTCTGTGTTGAGAGCCCTATAACGCGCATGCGCAATATCGATTGTGCGCAGATAACAATAGACCGCGAAATACATTAATTTAATTTAATTTAATTATTTATCGATATCTTGATGATAGTCGATGCTGAAAATGTCCATTCCTCTCTGAAGACTGAGCTAAGCACGCTCTTTTGCATGCCGGTGCATGCATGCGCAAAACACATCGAATTTCACACAAAACTAAACACAATCTTTTCTAAACTACACTTAACACTCAAGACGAACACTGTAGTATCTTATTAACAAAAATTCAATTAAAAATGCACTAGAACAAATCAAAAATTGACAAAAAAAGCGCTTCGCAGCGGTGCTTCGGCGGCGATGCGCAACAACAATCCAGCGCAAACGGTCGGCGGCGACTGAGCTCCATTAGGAGTTGTATTATTATTTTATGCGACTGAGTTACGGGAACCCCCGACAGAACAATGAAGCGGAGTGGCGGTTGTCGGGCGGGTGGGGCTTTTATCCAGGGTAGAACTCGGTTCACCTTTTTTTAATTTGTCTTTTGATATTATGCATTTTATAATGTTCTTTTTAAATGCAATTTCTTAAATACTATTTTAATAACAAATTCCTCAATGTTATTAAAACACATCAATGTTTTTAAAGTACATTTGTGTTAGTGATGAATCGCTGAAAGTTTTGTGAGTTTATCAAGTTTAATTAACGATCCCGTTGATAAAGGAGTATTACCCCATTCAAAAATATTTTTTGAGAACTGCTCTTTTAAAATTACGTAGGGTAATGTGAGACTGATCTCTCTACAATAATTTAGAAAATTTTACACTCGGTTTCTGAATTGAGAATTTAAAGTTAAACGTCTCAAACTAACATCACATAGTTTTCGTTTCCGATTTTAGTTTTTTGATAATCAGTTGATAGCAGTTTGATAAAACTAGGACTATTTGACTTGTGAAATTAAAAAAAATTAGGTTATTTAGAATAAGCAGTAGAGATTCTACTATTTTCAAATCAGAAACCGGCTGTTAGTCTGTAAATCGATTTAAGCATTTTGACTGACTTGTTTATTGATTGTCTGGTATATTGAACCCCGGGAGTGTCGGTCGTTCTGTTCCACCGGGTATACATATGTCGCACCCAAGTGGTACATGGTTTCAGCGGACCACTTGGACGACTAGCTCTTTAATTGAATTAACGAGCTGGCTTTCGATTAGCCAAATAGCTGAACGCATAGTTCTACAATACGGCTGAACAAAGGTCAGCCAACTAATTACCGACATCGGGAATACCGACTGCACATTAATGTTCACACACGTGATAAAAAACACAAAATACTTACATAAATGGATCCAAAATATGCTGCAGATACTTTAATTCGGCAGATTCTAATATAAATCTGGATTTAACATTCTGACAAGACGGCAAGCAGGAATCAGCTTAAATATTTTGAATAAAATATTAATGAGGAAGTATTTAAAAAAACATAAGTTCTCGAAATCAAACTAGATGTCGCTACGGTACGTTCTTGATTTCTTCATGACAACCTTTCCGGTTTTCTTTCATGTTTAAAAGTAATTTAGTTTTCAAAACTCAAAAAACAACTTATATTCTATTTGTACTTTTTCGAATTTGTATTGATATCAAAATTTCGAACTTTTTATATTTCAGTTTTTAATATGTTAGTTAAAAGGAACGGAAATGACTGTCTTTGGTCCATTCGTTTCCTGCAAAAATCAACTTTTGCTGGAGTCGCCATCTAGTGGAGGTGATTTTTAGTGCTTTCGTTTTTTTTAAAAACTTCCTCATTGAAATGTTTTTCATAGTAGGTATTTCTTTGGGTACACATTTCGTAAACACTACCTACAACTGCAAGGTAACTTACAAGGCCGATATGTTGATCGTTTTTATGGCATTAATTTGTAACTAATTCAAAATATAGAAGCTAACAGCTTTGGGTACACTACACTTCTCATTTTGAATTCATAATTAATTAATGTCATATCAGAGATTTATTTTATGCGTCTTTAATTAACTGCTGAAAGATTTCTTTATACAAAATCGTTAAACAAACCTTTATTGCCACGCGTATTAACGCACATAATTTGCTTCAAACCACAGGGTGGAAGTTTGTCTTCATATTGATCCCCCGCACTCGCTCTAAAAGGATCGGAACACCCACATTTCTTTTCCTTGTGCTTCAACTGTAACATGTAATCGAATAACTAATTTTCAATCTCTTTTTATTGTTCTATTATCTGTTCTCCTTGGACCCCTCTCCACTGAATGCTAATTATTAGAATTCATTGAAAACTTACAGAACATAGACGTTGGGAATAGCCTTGTTTTGAAACGCAACTACCCTGTACAAGCTTTTCTTCATTCTGGTCTTCTTCGAAAACTAATAGCAACACAGCAAAGTAAATGTGACCGCCCGACAGAGACAGCGGCTTTACCCATTCTTCGCCAACATTCTCCGTGAAAAACTAGAAAGAATAATACTTCTGAATTAATCAAATTTCCAATATTTAGTGTGTATTTCTACTCTATCTGTGGCGGCTGATATGATGCGACATCTAACTCATCGCACTAACATCGCCTAGCCTAGACTAGCATCGTCACAGCAATCGATAGCAAGACGAACTGCAAGAAGTTTCAAAACGCAATAATGAGATGGCGCTGTACCACTACAAGCATTAAATTAAGGTACTAAAAGGCATTTAGAGCAAATAAACCTACATCGCCCACAACAATTTTCATTATGAATTCGCATAAATAGAACGTCTAACCTACATTTATTGGAACGCGGTCCCCGGGCTAAGAATACCTAGCTCAGAGGGAGACAGTTACCCTTTAGTCTCCCTTGCCAGTTGTGTTCATCGTCCAGTATGACCACACTTTCACCATTAAGATTCCATCCTTCCACCTTCTACGGAGTTTTATTACCCGACGACAAGCAAGCTTACAACCCGATTATATAGTTGCAAAATGTATTAAATGAAGAAAAAACAAAATACTTAAAATTTGTATTGCCTGTTGTTAAACAAGTAGATATAAATGTGAATAAAAAACAGATAAGAACATGGGCCTTGTGGATACCTCAGGATAACAATAGATTCTAAACTTCATTGGGCCCACATATTGATAAATTATCGAAAAGACTCAGTTCTACAGAATATGCCGTAATGAAGATACATAGGTTAACTGATATAGATACTGCCAGATTAGTATACTTCACTTACTTTCATAGTGTATTGTCGTACGGAATCTCGTCGTGGGAAAATGCTAGCTACATACAAACGATTTTTTTGCATGAGAAGAAGTGTTAGATCAATTCATAATCTTAGGATTAGGGACTCTTTATGATGGTCCAGCAATTGGATAGGTGATTTCCACTAAACTTATTATATCTTAGAATTGTCTTGTTGTCATTATTAATTTATCATAATAAGATCATAGTTTTTTTCTCTATTTATAATGTATTGATCTGGTAATGGCATGGTTTTGTGAATGTCGTTACTTCCATTAGAGCAGGTAAGTTTCTTACTAGTTCTTCTTATCATAAAAAAAAGTCCTCACTTTGGTTTAGAGGACTTTAGTTATACTAAAGTAAAATAACTTCTACGAAAGTAAAATAACTTCTACGAAAGTAAAATGACTTTTACGAAAGTAAAATAACTTGAATGAAAATTAAAGGATTAACTATGTAGGTACTTATTTCCAATTTCTTATTGCATTTTACATACCTCACAACTACTTGAACTGGCTTCATTGTGACAATCCAATAACAAATCAAACCTTTTCCTTGAATCCAATTGAGCAAACGCTGGTAATTTTACCGTTGACAACCTGCAACACAAACTGTTTCACATATCAACGCACCATTTACTTTTGTTGTAGGGAAAGATTGGCACCATTCTTAGACGAAGAACCTTCATACAGTCACTACCACAACTATAAGAAAAGCCCGTTTATTACGAATTTGTATCTGTGGATAGGCGCCGGCGGCTGTCAGTTGTCCACGAAGTTGGACACAAATGCAGCCGCGTCGAGCGAAACTAGAGAACTTCAAGTGTTGGCGAGCTTAAAGTTTACCTTAAATTTTATAGGATTTTTGCTTGATCGTGTAGTGTGTATGCATCGTATATACACACTTGCATTTCTACTCAATATATAAGAAACATATTTATGTCATAAAGATGCATTATAACAGCAACCGGTGTTTCAGTTGATAATCCGAACCTGCCAACAGTGCATGGCGACCCTGCCACCTGAGCCGGTCAGCCGGCGTTCTGTCGCGCGATTCGACGTCATAAAATAATTTTCCTTCCAGCAGTGCAATCGTCAGTGACTACGATTAAAATTATAATAATATATCTATTTTGTGTGTTTTTCTATATGGGTTTTGTGTTAGAAAAAATATTTTATGTTTGATCTTTAGGGCACGTGCGTTTCCTGCAAGGGCACATTCGTGTGTCCTTGCAGGAAATGTACGAAAATCATATCAGAAATTCATTCATCAATGATATCAGAAAATTTCGAAAAAATATCGGAATTTGAAGAATAAAAGGAAGGCACATTTCCAATATCAGTAAAAGGTGTTTTTAAACAGTAAAAAAATGGTTTTTCTGAAGAAGGTTCATAATTTGAAAAAGTTAAAAAACACATTACAGATTCACGATGAAAGTCAGAACGCTATCAAATGATTAAGACTATCAAAGTTATGAAATGTAAATGTTTGCAAAATTGTTATGAAACTGGATTGACTGATATAGAATGGATACATGGTTTTCGTAAAAAAAAATGTTAGATTTTAACTCATTTAGTTTATTACATCGTTGATAAGTTTAAGACCAATGAAAACGATTTTTTAAATTATTTCCTGTTTTAATTAATATATATGAAACTACCACACTGTCTGAATGTCCCCCTGCCCATGTACGATTGTACCCCATAATAGGGATAGATTAGGACATTCATTAGGTTTTAGTAAAATTCAATCCACTCATTTCTTTTCCAAGATATCGACTTTGAACTTTTTAAATAAGGAGCAGAAAGTATGTTTTATGTTTTAATAATATCTTTGATTGACAATTTTAAAAAAAATCATAGAATAAAAAGTGTACGTGTAAAATCTTACTACGTTATGCCACCATAACATTTCGGCACCGTTATTAAGTTACATGTCTCTTCATTCATTCTGTCTGGGTTTAGTTAAGAAGCATTGCTCTTGCCCAGAGAATAGTACGAGTGCGACCAAGAAGTATAGTATGAATCTGATCCGTTGGCGTTCAATAAAATTCGCTTTATTTCGCGATAAAATTGTCATTGTCATTTTTTTAAATGCTAATTCACATTGCGTTCATTAATTTGGCCGATAGACCTATGACCGGCCATGCGATTTTTACTGTTGGGTTGATTTCTCAGAGTTTTATAGTTCATGTGAAACCAGGCTATACGAATTTAATTTATACTAATATCATAAAAAGAAAAGATGTGATTGATTGTTTGCATTTAATAGACTCCGCCACTGCTGGACCGATTTTAAAAATTCGTTCAGCTACGAAAAGTGGCATCGTACGCCGGTATAATTAAAATATACTATAATAATGCTATATATGCGGCTATAATATAAGCTGGCGAAGTCGCGGGAAAAGCAAGATTTAATAAAAGAAAATTTGAACATTAAAAAACACCACTCGCCTAGCAGGATCAGCGACGCAGCATACACCCCAAGGCGTGATTTCCTTCTTGAACAGATCTTCACATGGCACCAAGATATTGTGCCACCTACACTTCTTAATCATACGAGAACATTCCACAGTATAGTTATCGAAGACTTGCGCCAAATTAAGATTGTTTGTATTGAACAAATGCTGAAGAAGACGCAACTGGTCGTCTTCAATCGGTTCATGTTTCAAAATTTTGATTAACGCAGCCGCCAGCTTAACTCTGTCTTTGTTATTTTTCACCCTAGAGAACATATATTTAATATAAATAAATAATATAGTGGAAGATTAGTGGAACGAGCTGACTTTACAACCTATTTAAAGACATTTCTATAAAAACAATATTTATTTCATGAAGTATCATATAACATCAGATAAATAATAATAACATTCTTACTCGTGATTCAGAAAATTTTCAACGATTGCGTCAACGGGTTGGCATACGCCTACCTTCGGCACTACAGGGGCGTCCGTGTAGTCCCTGAGCGCCAACAGAGCGGGCAGATTGAAAAACCGATCCCACAACACAGTGCACAACACTCCTGCGCAACATGCACTTGCTATACAAGAAATTATCCAACCGATTCTGCAATAATCATTAACTCTATCACACTACTTCATATGTCATAATCTATATACGGTCAGTTGCACAAATGTCCATTAAGGTTTAATGACGCCTTTAACCTCTAATGAATGTCAAATTTGTATGTCTATCACTGTTGCACAAACGTCCATTAAAATTATCATTAATTTAAAGCGACATTACACATATAAATCTGACATTGATTAGAGGTTAAAGGCGTCATTAATCCTTAATGGACGTTTTTGCAACTGGCTGTATTATATCTATAGGTATACTGATAATAAAGCTGAAGAGTTTGAGAACTTTATAATCTTCGGAACTACTGGAACGTATTGAATTTTGTTTTGTGTTGAATAGTCCATTTATTGGGAAAGGCTATAGGCTATATACCATCACGCTATGGCTTATAGGAGTGGAGTAGCAATGAAAAATGTTGTTAAAACGGGAGAATATTTTAACTTTACTTGCGTGCACTACGTAAACGGTGAAAGTTGCGCAAAAATCATGTATTACGAAATTGATCCCCTTTAAAAGTTCGAAAAAAAAAATTTACGGTAAAAAAAAGTATATGTGTATTTTATATCATATCCCGAAATAAGCACATAAAGGGATGAATATGGGAGTGGGAGTTCGTATAGTTACCATAGAAACCATTGTTTACAATTCAATCTATCATTGTAATTACATATATTTCATGTCATCCTTGTCCAAATCCATTATTAAATGATTTAAGCTCTTTACGCAGGATTAAATAATGTTTTAATTTATTCAAATCAGTACAATCGTCGCTAAAATTAAATGCATATGCTAAGTGTTTGTTAGGAATGTAGGGCGGTTGATGTGGATCCAAGTGGCGATGTTTGGTCAGAATCGTTTACCGTCAAGTGACACTCTTACATCCCCGTCGTACATCCTGGCAATACATGGATCGCACATTACCATCAACCCTGGGATCCAGGTAGCTGAAGGGAGTGACGCTATCTCTCCAGTGCAATTCAACACAGAGAGAGATTCCCATTACCTTCACCCGTGATCCGCATTTCTTTAAAATCCTGAACATCTAAAACCTATTTCCCACACCCCTCCCTCCTCTTCCATCCCAATCCAAGGTGTCATACGTACCGTATCGATGGATGCGTGGCTAAGGGGATGCTTGGTCTCAAACGATGACACTCCAGTGAGATGGCAAACATGGAGTGGTATTTAGTCTTACCTAGGCATGCTCTGCTCGGGTGGACTTGTCATTTCCCTAGCTATTCGTGGAACTTGTATGGAAAATAATAAAAGCGAAACATACAAACCATCTCGGGCGACGAACGAACAAAACCGTCAAGTAGCTTAGCTGCTTCATTACCTGATTTATCGGATTTGTATATCAAAGCTGAGGGCGATCTACCAATCACTTTGGACTCTGATCTCGAGGCCAACTCCGATCAACGAAACGGGCACTGAGGACGCCAGTCTGAAACCAACAGACTCACCAACGTCCGCAGTAATGCAACCAAGATCAAAATACGGCGTAAGAACCTCACGGGGGCTGCTCGTAAACGCCTCAGACGCCTCAAAGCGCAGGGTATAGACAGATGAGCTGTGCTTTGAGGATATGATAGTGAGGGAACTGCCTTGGGGAGTGCTTCCGAAGTTGTGGGTGGAACTTCGACGGATCGAAAACCGATCAAACGGATTAGATCCGAAGAGGAATCACCTAAGAAAAATCCAAAAAATGCTTCTCGCATCGGCTAAGGCTCAGATGCTGGGGCGCTCATATCGAGAAGCACTAAACCAGACGCCGAGATTCCACAGACGGCTCGGCCGTTAGCGACAGAAGAGAAGTCCTTTAAGGATGTCCTCACAAACATCCGAACAGGGGTCCGTAATAAGGAACCTATGTCAGATGAACAACTAACTTTGGTGAAAGGCAGCATCCTAAGGGCGATTATTTAAGCCCCCAAAAAGTGAAGCGACACCAAAGTTAGAAGCTTGCGCTGAAGCCGAATTTATATGCTTCAAACACTCGCCCTATTAAACACTACACATTAACAGAAACACTAACACAACACACACACACACACAATGAACAATACACATGTGGTCCAAATTAACTTGCACCACGCCAAGGCTGGTACGGCAATCTTTGAAAAAATCTTCATCTAGAAGAACTTCCACATAGCTTTAATTCAGGAGCCATGGTTTGCTAACAACAACATGGTATCCGGACTCGGCTCCTCTGGCAAGATAGTTTATCATATCAATGGAGTTAAACCAAGAGCTTGTATTTTGTTTAATAGTAATATTAATTATTTATGTATACCAGGACTGGTTACAGTCTTCATAAACACCAAAAATGGAAGTAGGCGGGTAATACTATACTCAGCTTACCTAGATGGAGAGAGAAATGACCCAACTGAAGAGCTAGCGAAAGTGGTTGAATAACGACTGCAACGCTGAACTTCTCATCGGATGCGATGCAAACGCACACCACACCAATTGAGGTATTTCCGACGTTAATGCAAGAGGTCAGTTACTACATGACTTAATTCTAACCAATCGCCTTCAAATAGTTAACAGGGGATGCAAACAGACCTTTGTGACTGGATCTAGGCAAGAAGTTCTTGGTGTGACCTTTGCTACCAATAACTTAGCTGGGATGATAAACAACTGACTAGTTAGTGATGAAACCTCAATGTCCAAACATAAAATCATCACCTTCGAACTAAACACACATGCCACAGATTGGATATTATATAAACAAAACGTCCAGGATAAACTTAAGGACATACCTAAATCTATACGAACATGTGAAGCGCTAGAATACACTGTCGATAAAATAAAAGAAGCCATGAAAGCCTCCTATGAGGAAAGTTGCCCCCTGAAGATCAAAAGTGGCAACAAGATACCATGGTGAAATATCAAACTCAGTAAACTGAGGCAAGAAACGCGTAAACTATTCAATAAGGCAAAAAGGACCGGAAACTGGAACTGATATTCTAATGCCCTAACCGCGTACAACAAAGAAATAAGAAAAGCAAAAAGACTATCGTGGAGAAAGTTCTGCGAGGACATTATCTGAAAACCTCAAGGAGCTAGAATCCATAGTCTTAGCTAAATCACCATCTAATCAACTGGGACTACTAAAGAATCCTTCACTGAAACTGCGGAAGAAACACTAGATCTTCTAGCGTCAACACACTTCCCAGGCTCGGTATTAATACCTAAAGACACTATAAATGTCATGCCTTATAAACAGATCACCAGGCCTACAAATAAAGACTGGAAAGAGCAGCGTAACACATCAGACCAAATATCGTAAACTGGGCAATAGAGTTTTTTAAACCGTATAAATCTGCTGGTGAGGATGACATATTTCAAGCCCTACTGCAACAAGGTAAAGACATCCTCATCCCTATTTTGGTAAAAGTGTTTAGGACGAGTTACGCTTGGGGATGTATACCAGAAAAATGGATAACGGTTAAAGTCCGGTTCATTTCCAAGGCTGGTATAAAGGATTATGCTCAACCGAAATTCTTTAGATCAAAAAGCCTTTGCTTTCTACTAAAAAGTATAGAAAAAGTAATTGACATATGCACAAGAAATGGACCCCTAAAAATCGTCCTCTGCATGCAAAACAACACGCATATCAAAAAGGCAAATCCACAGAAACTGCCTTACTTTAACTTACAGATAGGATCGAAAGGGCTATTGAAGACACACAGATAGCTCTCTGTGCCTTCCAAGATATTGAAGTAGCATTCGACAACGTTACCGTTGAAACCGTATCCAAAGGAATGAGGGACAAGGGAATCGACAACACAACAACCAAATCAAAAACACAACGATCCATAGGAGCAACAAAAGATTTCAAAACCACAAGAGGTTGTTCTCAAAGCGGCGTCCTATCGCCACTGTTATGGTCCTTAGTGGTTGATCAATTGTTATTACAAGCCTCTAAAAAATGCCTAGATATACAAGGCTACGCAGACGACGTGATAGCTTGCGTTATTGGTCCATGTCAAAGCACTGTATATACAGAGATCTCTGAACATCATTGACAAATGGTGCACAGAGAATAACCTATCGGTAAATCCGAATAAAATAACAATAGTCCCTTTACCAGGAGGCGAAAGTTGGAAAACCTTAAAACGCTTATCTTAAAAGGGATCGTTATATCGTACTGTACAGAAGTCAAATATCTGGGCGTCATATTCGACCAAAAACTCCTGCGTAAAGAGCTTAAAACATAACCCAAAAGGCTAGAACAGCCCTAGGTATATGCTGTCGAGTAACTGGGGCAAAATGGGGAATAAATCTCAAAATAGCCCTATGGATGTACACCGCCATTGTAAGGCCAACGGTGACATATGCCAGCGTCGTATGGTGGAAGAAAGCCACACAAGCTACAGTAATTAACATACTGAATGGCTTGCAAAGAACAGCATGCCTCATGGCAACCGGTACCATGTCTACCACTGCACTGCTACACTTTATAATGAAAGAGGCGAAAGCTAGCATCTACAGAGCAGGAGTAACTGGTCAAAAGAACTGGCATTCTTAAGCACTGACATCTCTATATCAAACAGTCCTTGACAACACACCTCTAGCAATGACCACTGACGTCATGATTCCGCTATGTAACTTAGAAAGAAATTACTCACTGGATACACCGAGCAGAGAGGAATGGTCAGAGGCACACGAACTCTGCAAAACAGGAAGCCTAGTCTGGTTCACAGATGGCTCCAAAATGGGTCATAATGTAGGTAGGTGGTGTAAGACCGAAATTCAACAAAAGTGTGAATCTTGTGATAAACCCTACTATTTTCCACGCTGAAGTATACGCCATTTTAGAATGTGTGGAAGCTAATCGCCAACAAAACTACAGAAATCAAACCATTTACATATACTCTGAAAGTCAAGCAGCACTCAATGCCATACATTCGAACGTGGTGAATTCAAGACTGGTAAAGATTGAATTGAACTGGGGCAAAAGAATAAAATTATTCTTAAATGTTTACCAGGACACTCGGGCATCATCAGCAATGAAAAAGCGGATGAATTAGCAAGGGCTGGAGCACAGGGACTACAATAGAACTTAGGTTTGTGGTATCCGAAAAAACCATGTGATGCAAATTCTAAATAATGACCTGCAAAGGGATTTAAAAACAGCCGGGATTAAATCACGCTAAAACCCTAATTGAAGGTTATTCACAAAATCTAACTGAAGAGTTCTTGAAGCTTAAAGGCTAGTTGACAACTTTTTTATTATTTCATAAATAAATAGTCCATTAACATCTGAGAAATAATGTCGAAGTAACAGCATGTCTGCGATTAATAGTTTCGGAGATACGGTGCTGTGTTTGTAGAACTTCTGCTATGTAGTTGGCCGAAAACGCTCCCTACAAATTCAAGGCACTCAGTGACGTCACATGGTGCTACAATAGTGAAATATGTATGGGCATCTGGATAATTTGTGAGAAACTTATTGTTAATATATAAAACCTCGACCGAACAATTGTGGAACTCGGCCGCTCAGCACGTATCAGAATTTGTTGCGAAACTTCACTCCAAAAGAATTTCGTAATGGCTGAAATTTCGGTATTAAATTATTATCCGTAACTTAAGAAAAAAATACTCGGACAACTCAGGCGTGAAACGCGGCGACTCAGCAAGTACCGGAAGGTGCCTCTGCACTGGGTACCGAGTAATGTATTTATCCCATAGTACTTCAAATACTGAAATATCAAACTTTATTCTTAGACTTACTAGTCTAAAAAAATTTAAAACAGAAATTGGTTGAAAATTACCGATCAAAACGATGACGAGTTGCAATATATTTCAATCCATGTAACATAGTATTCTTCAAATATTTAAAAACCGCTTCGCCTATGGCCGTATTCATTATTACCAACAATTTTTTTCTTTTCTAATTTAAGACAACGTACAAAAGTGTGAGGTGTCTATCAAAACTGGCACATTGCGTTTTGTGCCGTGTCATGATCTACAATTTTATAGATTGTATCAACGTGATCGCGTGCCATTTATTTATCGATCACGGCCAGTAAAGTGATCGCTAATGACAAGGGTTGAATTGTAAATAAAGATGAAAAATATATGCCTCGATACTATATTATTAAACTGACTTGGAATGTCGTTCTACACCTTATTGTCAAGTGTAACAAGTACAATCAAACTAAATCATTAAATAATAAACTTATAAAAATTAAATGAATATATAAATCTAAAAGAACAATCTGAATAAGTACAAACATGTATATCGTTAAATCGGTTTATTTACAACGTCTCGGGTACACACAAAACTGTCTATCATTCATATTATATATGAATGATTACAAATATACATTCATCTAAGATAGTGTACAATCAACAGCACGTCAGTTTATACAAAACATTACAATTTTTAAACTGTATCATAAAACTTGATGCTATAAATTTAGAGTTCCGAATTTATTGCGATAAATTGATATTTCGTAACCAGGTATGCTGTTTAGTGTATAACAAATATTTTAAATAAATACATACTATTACAAATATTTTAAACTAAGTTTGAATTCATTTATATATAATTTTATCAAATTAAACCAAGTGAAAAATCGCTGAAAAAAACGCCGTGGAGATCTAAAAAATTTATAGAGTGAATAAGCTATTTATCGCCTGGTTCGAGATGACCCTTAATACCTACACTGTCGAATTAAAAAAATGTACAGAGGAAGTCATATTGTATTTTTTTTTTAAATAATTACGATATGTTTATACAAGGAACGTTTCTTTTAACAAAAGTGTATATTTTTGTAGGATTTAGGTAAAATAACAACATTACTAATTTTCGCACTTATATCGCCTTATTTGATTAGTAAAATAAGAAACAGTCACCCCAACAGAGTTGTACTATTTACAACAAAATGGTAGTGCTTATACTGTTTACGTGGACTATGGAGCAACGACTGGTCGGTCTTTTTTCCTCAATAACAAAGTGAAAATATAAAGATACAATTAATGTGGCTCACTGATGTACCTGCATAGAACGATAAATTATGAAGCGCGGCAAATGTCGACCAAACAGCGATTCAAATATCAAGGCATCAAGCGATCCACCAATATCCACGCAGCTGACCCCCGCCAAGTACAAGAGAGACAAACACCTAATGTGTTATTGTATTTAACACTACTTATTAAAGTTGGAATAAGACTCACTATATATTTTTATGGTGCGTTCGGCCATCGTCGGTACTGATGGGTCTGCTGATCTGCTCAGCGCAAACGAAGATTCACTGAGCCACATTCAATTTATTACGGCAATAGGCCCCGGATTCATGGCAAACATTTGTTTATCACCAATGTTAAAGCAATGCTCTGAACATATTGCTGACAACAATATGTTCTGGAGTTGATCACCGCATGTTTTTGCTCGATGACCGGAAATATCGATTTGCAACCAGTTTAAAAAACATGACAATAGTGTGGAATCATGATAAAATAATCCTGTTAGCAGACACTTTCGTTAAGTTAATAAATGATTCATCAGTCATTCTGAGAATGCTCGTCAATTTTTTTTATTGCAGGAGATAGTTTCGCGACATCACCTTTTTTTCCTTTTCTTCGGAATTCTATTCGCTAGTAGATACAGAAAACAGAACGACACTACCTCCTAGGTCAACATAATGACGGAGACTTGCGCGTGGACAAGAAATATTAATATAAACAAAGTTTCCAGCAACTTTGTCACTGTTTGATGATGGATGTTGATCGACAGTTGCTCAATGAATGTTTATCATGAATACGGGGCTTTAGTTGCAACTTACTGTAAAATAAACATATTGGATATTAACCTCCGGGTTAAGAAAGGTGACCGATATAGGCAACATTCTAAGAAATCTAACTGCTTTTTTTACCTAATATGTTAGAAAGTTGATTAAAAAAAGGAAATAATAATTATTAATAATTTACAATAATATTAAAATTTGTGTATTTAAAGAAAACTTTTACTGTATATTTTAAAATGATTTTTTTCTAAATGATGTATCTATGCTTTTATTTCATTACATTACATCTATACAAATAGTTCATATTATATTTAATTGATATATATATATATATAGCAATGACGTGACAGCTGAAGTCATCAGGATGTATTAAAATATTATATAGTTCTACATATTACATATAACAATTCATTATTCTGGTGATGGTTTTTTTTAAATATTAAAAAAATATTAAAGAATTTTTTTTATGTACAAATAATATATTACAATAATATAATCAGGAGGACCAAAATATACTATTTCAGAAATATACTATAGTGTTTCAATTCATTACAAACCATTAAAATATAAACCGCTACATTGTGTAAAAAAATGTGTAAAATAACCGGTACCATAAGTACATCGTTCAAATCACTGGCGGTGAGGCGGGTTCAGTGCGAGGCGGCGTGGCGCGCGGGGCACACGTCCAGCAGGCAAAACTGCGCGCGGCACACGGGGCACGTGCCGCGGCCGCCCAGCCACTCCGCCGCCGCGCCCGCCGCGCGCGCCGCCCACCACCGCGCCATGCAGCCCGCGCACCACAGCACCCTGCCGCACGAGGGCAGGCGTACACTTACTTATATACCTACTATATCATAATCGAAAGCGCGTGACGTCATACCGATATGTCACTGTCGAAACTCGTGAGTCCGCATTATAATATAGGTAAAATTATAAAGAAATTAAATTCTGAACTCAAGGCTTTTATACAAAAATATAAAAATGTGTTTAGAGTTTGGCAAGCGAAACGTGACACCACCTATTTTTCCGTTTTCATATGGCAACAACATAGAACTGTCAGTTTGACACTACGTTAGACAATTCAAGAATATTGAATTTTGTTGTTTTTGCGAATTTGAACTTGTGTTTTTGGTTAAAAATTATGTCGAAGCCGATAAAAAGTTCATCGAGGAAACTTCTTTCCATCATGATTGACAAGTTTACTGAAGTGAAAACTGAATTAAATAAAAATTTCATGGAGAAATTACAACGATTAGATAAAGTTGTATCTTTTTTAGGTTAGTTTTGTATTATAATTTTGATACTTTCGTTTTAATTTTCTGTAATTAACTAAACAGATATTTTTTATAAAATATTGCTCTATTTCAGATAACTGTGATGGTGATATTCAACCAATAATGGAGGAGATAAATGCAATAAAAACTTTAGAAAAACAAGAAATGCTGAATTCGGAAACGCAGTACTTACAAAAAATTTCTTCAATGACAGGTCTCTTTTCTTGTTTTGATTTAAGATAGATTGATAGTATTCCTATAATATTTACATAGGTTTTTTATGATGTATTGGTTTTTATTGTTGACATCCAATGATGTCATAAGAATGTTTTGTTTAACAAGGAAATTCACAGAATTCATGAAACTAATCAAACCATGTAATTGTTATACATGCTAAATATGCACATAAACTTAACTAAATTAAACATAAATTGCATTCATAGTTGAATAGGTATTTAAATTATTTTGATGTATGTGTCTATCATTATTTGCTTTTAAATACATTTAACATATCTTTGTTTCAAAGTGTTTAATCTTTTATAGATGTAAGTATAAGGACACTAAGAAGGATAAAAAATGAAGCATTAATTAATAAAGGAAAATGGGACACTCCTGGGAAAAAACGACCTCATCAACCAACAGTGTCTGCTTTAGATAATTTTGATTTAAGTGCAATTCGGAATAAAGTAAATGAATTTTACTGTGTGAAAAAAATTGTTCCAACATTAAGAAGCCTTCACAATGAATTAAAAGATGCAATAGGATTCAGTGGTAGCCGTGAGACTTTACGAAAAATTATGCTTAAGAATGGATTTTCTTTTAAAAGCAATGAAAATGAATGTTCTATGCTTATAGAAAAATACCAGATTTCTGCATGGAGGCACAAGTATTTGAGAGAAATAAATATAAAACGAAACGAAGGAAAGCAAATTGTGTACCTTGATGAAACTTATGTACATCAGAATTATAAAGTTAAAAAGTCTTGGCAAGGACCTTCAACAACTGGTGTCACTACAAAGATATCCTCTGGAAAACGGCATATTGTTGTGCATGCTGGATCTGAGGAAGGTTTTGTGCCTGGTGCATTATTAGTGTTCAGTAGTAAATCCAAATCTGCTGATTATCATGATGATATGAACTCATCGAACTTTATGAAATGGGTCAGAGAAAAATTAATACCAAATTTAAGTAAGCCCAGTGTAATTGTTATGGATAATGCCAGCTACCATATAAAACAAATCAATAAACCGCCTATAATGTCTTATACCAAAGCAGATATCCGTAAATGGCTTGTAAATAATGGAATACATTTTGAGGAATATCAGACAAAGGCAGAGTTAATGTGTTTGGTTAATGATAAGAAAACATTGCCTGTATATGAAGCTGAAGAGATTTTAAAAGAACATAATCATGAACTTTTATTGCTGCCACCGTATCATTGTGACTTAAACCCAATAGAGATGGTTTGGAGTCAAGCAAAAAGAAAAATTGCAAGCAGAAACATTGGAATACCAGGAAAGGAAATGGAAAACTTAATAATAGAGTGTTTTAACTTAATTACCCCTAGTGACTGGAAGAAATACACTGATCATGTTTTAAATGTCGAAAATGATTACAAATTAAAAGATGGCATTGTTGAAAACGAACTTGAAAAATTTATTATATCTGTTGGTGCAGACAGTAGTGAAGAGAGTGACTCTGATGATTCCTTGTCATTGTTATCAGGTGTAGAATATTTAGAAACAGATTTTGACTATGAATCAGACTAAAGTATTTTTAGTCTGATTCATAGTCAAAATCTTATCTTAAATTTTCTATTGTGATTAACATGATGATTTTGTGACACCTGTATTATGTAATTTATCCATGGCACTTAATTGTAACAAAAATAAATGTTTTTTTTATTGTAATCTGGTGTTTATATTGACTAATTTAATTTGATAGATAGTGGTTCTGGATCAGAGCAAAAGGTTGTGATGAAAATCCCTTAGGAGACATGTATGTGTTATGAACACATTATAAATATAAGGGCCAGAAATCAAAATTGGCTAACATCACATTTATTAAAAAAATGTGGCCAGAGTCGCCCATATTCATTACAAAAAAACAAAGAAGTCGTTGCAAAAAACACCCTTTTAATTAATGACAAATATGAATTTTTAATATTATAAGTGCTGTTAGCCAATAGGTATAACGAATGGGTTAAAAAAAAGATTCGATTTAGTCCGTCAGTCAGATAATAGAAAAATATTGGATACGTATTTTTTTTCGCTTTAATTTAACAACAAATGGCTTAAGAGGTACTATGCGACGACTTCAAATATGCTTTGCAACAATGTTACTTTAATACAGTTTATCGATACGAAATCAAGTGTCAAAATGGAGTCCAGTGGAGAATGCCGATATTGACATTTCGAAATTGCTCATCATTGATAGAGAATACGAAATAGTGATTTTGACACAATCAAAGTGTCTATTTTTTACGGTGATGACGATTCTTGGTTGTCAGTTGAGTTAGTGAATAGGCCTACTGATATGCTGTTAACTGTACAATTAAGAACAGTCACGCTTTAGTCAAATGTTCCAAAACAAATAATTTTAATTGATATCTAAATGTTAAGATTAAATATAATTAATAAAAGTATCAAAATTATTTTGCAGTACTACATTCAGTGTTTACTGCTTAAGAATTTTTGAAATTGCCGCCCTTTTCTTGTGACACGTTTCGCTTGCCAGACTCTATCATTATTTCCATTACAGGAGGATTCAGGAGCCTGTATGCCAGTCTAAATAAGTTTGCGAATGGTTAACGTCACGACATGGCAACACACTATAGCAGTAAAATGTTTTTGAAAAATTATCAATTAAACCTATTTGACCTGTCAATAACTGTGCAATTTCATTGATCACATGCCAATAGCAAAACGTTTAAAATGATGTACAATATCCTACCTGCAGTTGCACTGTTGACATTGTGGTGGTCCACCCTGTAAGTGTGGTGGTGGTGCGAGACATCGGCGAGTGAGTTTCACATCAGCTTGGTTTTGCATGCAACCAATACACAGTTCCAGTTCCTGGACCGATCAAAAGAAATTGCTACATACAATACACGAGATATTTGTACATAGAAAACTAATATCACACCTTTTAATAATTCAATATATAAAAAAAACAGTAAGCTTTAGGTAAATCAAATATACACTGACCTGCAAAAGTATGTATCACACTTTTGAAACCTATTTTTTTTGTAATCTATATAAGTTTAGCGATTTAAAATAAATACCATGTTATAGTAAATTTTATCAGCTTTATTTACTTTATTTTACTAAATTAAATTCTTTTTCGAGTCCTTTTTATTTCGATAGTGTATCTTGTGTACTTAAAAAGTTATTGCCATTTTAAAAGTGTGATACTTAGTTTTGCTGTCCAGTGTAAATTAGTCCAAAATACCATTACTAAATCCATTAAATGTGTCCACATTTTTTTTATCATTTAAAGGTGAACGAAAAGAGCAGATGCAACACTAAACTACACATAGTTGATGAACAATTATTTCTAGCAGTCAGTTTATAATCTGCTTGTTTGGATTATAAACTACACCTATGGTAAGGTGTAGGTTAAATTATAATATATACATAAAACAACTTGATATCAATAAACAAGATTTAGCGTTGGAGTACTTTTATATACTCCTATTTTATTGATTTTGTCCCTGCTACTATGGTTGAATAATCTAACACAAGTTTTCTCAACAACAAATTCTATGTGAAAAAACATTAGTAAGTTTACATCAGCCAGCCTACATAAGTAGTGGAACCATACATCAAAAAAAGTTTATGCTCACAATCTTGTTGCATTACACTACAATAATAATATGAATGCATTTCGTTTTTCCAAATTTAGTTACATTTACACAGTAGCGTAGCTAGGTAACCTAGGGCCCTGGGGCAAATAAAAAAATGGGGCCCACTGCTATCAAAATTAGTAAGATTTTTTGAAGCAAAATCATTAAATATGCAAATACTTTAAAAATGCTAAGCAACTTTATCTTTAACTCTTTTTCGTGCATGGGCAGGTAATAAAACTATTAAACACTAACAACATAAATTACAATTATTTTGATACTTGTTGTAGGTATTGGGCAATTAAACGAAATAGAAAAGATTCAAGGGTTTATTATATATTTATTTATTCATAGATACGTTGCACCAGCTTACTGTTATTTAACCTATCGCCATGCAAGCTATTTACAAAAAATATCTAAAATACTTGTCAATTTTGGGCAATGTTTGTTCACTTTCTTCTCTTTCTTGGCATTGTTTGCGTTTAAATGCACCACTGGGTTTTTTGTCCTGTTTTCTAATTTATTTATGTTTGAACATAAATTAATTACTTATCGCATGTGACTTGTATTTTGCACGGTATTTTGAGTTATATAGTGAGTAGCCGAAATCTATCGATTTCTTAACGTAACTATGTATTCGTACTATAATCAAATAAAATTGAACTTTTGTATGGACCAGTACAAAAAATTTATTGACATACGCTTACTTACTCCTGATACATTAACTTTTTAACCATTCTCGAAAAAAATCTTGACTCGAAGTTCACAATCGTGAATCACAAAAAACGCATATCGATAAATAATAATATGCAGATATTGATATCCGACAAATTGATGAAAACATTAATAACACTGTCAACCCACACAAATAATTTAGGGGAATTCCCTTTTAATAACTTTAGAATTTCTCACAACTGAGTTGCCATGATTAAACTCGAGTTGTCACCTGTCATATTTATTTTGAAAATGGGAGAAATTTTCAAAAGTTGAGTTCGATTGAGATTTTCTGGTGAAGATTCGAGGGCCCCCTGAGCTTGAGGGCCCCGGGGCACTGCCCCGCCTAGCCCCTTAGTAGCTACGCCACTGCATTTACATCCGCTAAAGGTGCTGCTTAAGTCCGATATAAACATTTGAGATTACAATATGAATAATCTTTTGCAGTGTTTATGCTCACCCTACTGGAAATACTCCCTACTTACTTTATTAATATGTATGGATATTGTAATAAATGAATAATCACCTGATCAACATAAAACACAGGGTTTTGTTCTATGTGTTGTTTGAACACAGTCACAAATCGTTCTATTAAAGTAGGCAGCAGAGACAAGTGTTCTGGAACTCTAACAGGATGGGTTAGTCTCGGCTGCAAATCTCTTAGAGCAGTTGTAGAGATCCGGAATGTAAAACGTTCAATATCTTCATGGGTTGGGATGGCCTCTATGTTCACATACTGTATTTCATCTTCTCCAGATGGTGCAAGATTGTGACTATCAGTCTGTCAGGCAAGTGTTTTAAAAAATAGTAAAATGCTTACATGATCTGTTTCAATGTAGACTAAAGCCTGTAAAAATACTTACTGCTGTTGCTACAAGAGTACAATCACTTTGTTTTACAATGTTCAGTTTGTATTGAGATACTTTTATCAGCCATGTTTCAGTTGCAATAAACTTGCTTGTTGCAGTTAAAGGTATAGATACTTTATCAACGCTAAAATGATAAAAAATATTAAAAAAAAAACACATTTGATGCTAGAACACGGAAGTCACATATCACACATACTTCCGAAACTCCATGTTTAGCTGAACAGCTACCATACGCCAGTCAGTGCCGGGCGTTACATATCTTAAAAGAGGTCTCACTGCAGGATGTTTACTCTTGTCATGTTCCCACCAGCATAAGATTTTATAGCACATCAGCAGTGGAATTATTGCCGAGCCTGCAGCACCGGCGAGCATCCATTGATTGCGCACACCTCCACACCACAACGTAAATACGTAGCCAAGTAACAATGAAGAGTGTATCAGAGCTGTTATAGTAATTCTTTTCATATGGTATCCAACGAAATTAGTGTTCTCCGATCCCAAATAATTTTCAAACAGCTGGGCTATCGTGAACCCGGCTGAAACGAACTCTGTTGGAGGGTAAACTACACATATACAAAAAAGTATGTAAAACAACGTAATTAAGATATCCATGATAAACTTTTATTATTGTCACTGTAGCAATGTTAACAAACCAAAACAATCACAATTTAACTCATTTTTTTTTTAGAAAATTCACTACTTTTTTTCCTATTAAGCAAAGATCTGAATACCATGCAGCCTTGTCCTTAGTATTGAAATCTTCAAATTTTTTTAGAGCATGTGACAAGACCGGCTGTATCCCGTCGCATTAAGGATTAAAAATCTATGTTTTCTCAAGTTTAAGGCGCCTATTACACTACCCAATCTATCGGGCACGATATATCGGCCGCGATTTAGGGCGGTTGGTGTCGTTGTGATTACACTGCACTAGATCGCCTCCCTAACTCAGTTGGCATGCAAACGTGGCGTTGAAAGGATGGCTCCTTCGCTTACAAAGTACCAAAAAATTGGCATAGCCCATACTTTAACTGCGGGCGTAAATAATAAAACAAAATGTTGGGTGAAAAATATTTGCTTCGTAATAGGCGTAGTGTAATAGGCGCCTTAAGGAAGTATTTAAAAAAAAAATCCCGAGATCAAACTAAGGGTATGTTCCGATATACACTGCGAGCACTGCGCAGTGGTCTTACTTTGGTCTTACTGCTGAAAAATCCGTTCCGTTATGGACTGCCAGTACACTGCTACAGTACCCTGGGAAATTCATGACGTCATAAATTGCCGCCATATTTGTACTGTGAGCACTGGAGATTTCAAGGTAAGGTGCTCGCAGTGCTTTTGATCACGTGATCAGTCGAAACAGAATCAGAAAATGATAAGTTTCTAAATAAACAAAAAAAAATACTTACGTTTATTATAAGATGGATAAATAATTTTTTTATACAATTTTCCAATTTTATAATATTTTCTTTTGAAAAGAGGGAATCTTTATATTTATATTCACCTTGCATTAACAAATTTGAAAATGGCGCCAAAAAATAGGATTAACGGTATACTGGACTGCGTTCCGTTTTAAAAAGTCACCAGTATAACTAGCTATAAAGGAACGGGCTTCCAGTATACTAAATTGACGTCATACTGTTCAGTGGTCGCAGTGTATATCGGAACATACCCTAAATGTCGCTACAGTACGTTCTTGATTTCTCCTTAGCCTTCAGGTTTTCTTTCGTGTTTAAAAGTTAATTAGTTTCCAAAACTCAATAAACAACTCATATTGTATTTGTACTTTGTCGTATTTGTATTGATGTATAAGTTTCGAACTTTCCTAGGGCGCTTCTGTAGTGCACTTGATTTTCAGGTCCGGCGGGCCGATTCTTTCCAATCCGGAATGACATAAACAGAAAACTTTTTTAAACTATACCATTAAATCTGTGGGTAATACAAGCAGGACAGGGCTTTCAGTGCTATTTAGGGTTATTTGAGTTTGGTTTTAGGGTTTTATTTTGTTGGGAGTTGGTAACACTGCCTTATCCAGAAATGTGTTAGGAAATGTCAGTGTCACTGTCACATTGACTAAAGTTTTGTGGATGATGTGGACACGTATTTCTGTGAGAAATTAAGAATGTTTGCATTTCGTTAATAAATTTTCTGACAATCCAGTTGGAATTCTATAAAACATTAGTTGTCATATCGGAAGATTTTATTGAGAACATTGTTTTACATTCAGGTGGACTACTTCATATTTTAAGTAAGTTAACACTTGTGCCGGATTTTATGATCCTTATTGCAGTCTAATAATTTTTGTCTAATCAAATAGCAGGAGTTTATAAAATTTGCCATAATTTATGTTAATAGTAGTAACTACAGAACTACGTAAATAATTATATTTCTGCACAACTACTCGAGCAATTAAATTTGCTTCAAATGGTAAAAAAATAAGCATTATATTCTCTCTGTTTATTGAAGTTTAATTGAATCTCATTATTTCGATAAAAGGGCAAAAATAATACATAGTAGACATCGCATACATCAATATGTGATGAATATACCAGTTATTAGAAGAGCAATTTCGTAGCTGGAGGCTTTTAGAGATGGGTAACAAATGTTTTTTTGTTATTAATTAATTTATTTTATTTCTAGCCATTTCTTAAAACATCTCGCTTAAAAAATTGCAGGGTCTAATGATGGAATAGTAACATATTTTGTGGCCAGTGAACTTTAACAGATCATATTAATAATAAATAATTAAATATGATCAAATTATGTATGAATCCAACTGTCTCTTATTTTGAATAAGTAATGAAACATTTCCTATTTATTTCTATTTGAAGCATGGCGGGTATAGAGCAGCCATGCTATACTCTGATCAACTTCCCGACAGACACTGAGCCTCATAATGAGATGCAGCTCAAGCTCGATCTTGGTGAGTTTAACATGTTAATGTTTACCATATGGCATATCCAAGCATAAAGTAAATCACATTACTATTGTTATGTCATGAATATGATATATTGGTTGTTGGTGACCCGCTACGCAAACCTTTTTGGCATGTTTATTTTCTAAATTCTCAGTTTTTAAATAAATGTAAAACTTCAGGGTGAGAATAACAATATACGGCTGTGACGGTGTTTTCGTGGTTTCCTTTAAAATTACCTGGTAGCCAGATCTCGTATCTTTTTCATTGGTAACAATAAGTTACTAAATGTACACAGGGCAGCATGTCAGGTTATCACAATATGTTATATATTACCTCTAGTCTTATTATTTTAAGTTTTAAAATGGGGTAGGGAAACTTGACAGTTTTGTATAGTCTGATTTGCAGTTAACTGTAAATACCATTATTTAACTCATTAAATTCACAGAGTTAAATATTTTATAAGCTTTATAAAAGTTATGAAAATAATCACATCAATCTTCAGTTTTAGTAGTATCAAACATACATAGTTGTATCATGTAGTATATATAATAAGCCTTGTACACTTATAATGTAATAAACTAAATGACATAGGAACTTGTCTAATCACCACTAATTTTACTTAACAGAAAAAGGGGATACTAAGAAGAAAATTGAGGCATTGAAGAAGGTTATTAGCATCATCCTATCAGGGGAAAAGATACCAGGACTACTGATGATCATCATTCGGTTTGTTCTGCCTCTGCAAGATCACACTATTAAAAAGTTACTTTTGATATTCTGGGAGATTGTTCCAAAAACTACTCCAGATGGCAAGCTTATGCAAGAAATGATTCTCGTGTGTGATGCTTATCGAAAGGTAATATAATAATAATAATAATTTTATTTCCAATAACAGTACAATATTCTTTGTACCCTGTCTCCCATACTAGTTTGAACTGTATAATGGGAGCCAGTGCCTTCCTAATTACTGTTACAATTCAATATTGGAAGTGGCATTCCAGAATAATACATGCAGAAAGCCATAATAAACATAAGTTAGTCAAAATATTTGAAAAAAGAGTACTACACATGTACACTACTATTGTAATATAAGTGTAAATTATTATTTTTAATATATATTTCACTATAAGCTTACTGATATTAATTTTGAAGTTATAAATTAAATTTTATTTACTTTTAAAAACTCTTGATAAGATTTACTTGGAAAATTCATATTAAATCCATCATAAAAACAATAGGGAAATATGATCCAAAACTTAGTCTCTGTACTTTTGAGTTGCAGTGTTATGTCATTGTAAAATTGTTATCTTCAGTTTGTAATTAGTGTCATTAGGTTATAAATAGAGATGCGCCCTGGGCGTCGCCGGTTCGGTAGTCGGGTACGTCCTTGGACAAATTCGACTTCCGGGCCCGGCGGCGTCGGGGGCGCGGCGGGCTATGGCGTAATCTGCCATAGTCAGCGACAAAGGGATGAAGTCGGCTGCGGCTCGGCGAGGGCACTCACCCAGGGCCAAACAGTAGTTTCACCATATAACCGAATTACGAATAGTATTCTGTTTAAGCTTAACTGAACCAGATTATTGGGTTTAAGCTTAACCAAACCTGATATATGGCCAAATAATTTGGTTTATCTATTAATTGATTTCGTTTAGCCAGAGTGTCTCTCGATGCTCCTGGTAATGGTGTGTGTGTAGAATACACAATAAATTCTAGCCGAAGAGGATCTTGGTATTTCTGCACCATAATTTAACATTGATTAATTATAAATATTAGAATACATATGTTATGTAGCCAGAAAAATATAATTACTTGAATCGAATATATTTAGCACCAAAACCGAATAATTGGGCAGAATATGATTAGCAAAAAGATGCTGGATACAAAACGATTATTCGGCGCATCTCTAGTTATATATATCTCTAGGTTAGATTGTAAATTGAGGATATTTTAATGTTTTCAGGATTTGCAACACCCTAATGAGTTCCTACGAGGTTCAACTCTGAGGTTCCTGTGCAAACTGAAGGAGCCCGAGCTGCTGGAACCCTTGATGCCAGCCATCCGTGCTTGTCTCGAGCATCGCCACTCCTATGTGAGACGGAATGCTGTGCTCGCTATATTCACAATATACAGGTGACTTATATGCAGATAAATATGAAAAAGGAAATATAATTTTTTTTTTCTTTCTTACTCGCTTTAATAATTTGCCAAAGTCTTATTTTTACAGATTCATTGTTTATGCAGTTATGTCTTATCACCGATAAACTTTTTTAAGTCTGAAATAATTGAAAACAAATGACAATAACTAATTTAATTTGAGAATGTCATTTTAACTGCGAGAGAATGCTATTAGCATTAAGTCTGCCGTTTGTACCATTTATCATCGGTCTATAAAGCTCAATAAATAAATAATTATAATCTCCCGATTCTATTAAACTTCGAGTTGTTCAGTAGAAAAAATATGACATGCAGGAATTTCGAGTTTCTCATACCCGACGCCCCAGAGCTGGTAGCGCAGTTTCTGGAGACGGAGCAGGACATGTCGTGCAAGAGGAACGCGTTCCTGATGCTGCTGCACGCGGACCAGGAGCGCGCCCTCTCCTACCTCGCCTCGCGCCTGGACAACGTGCACAGCTTCGGGGACATCCTCCAGCTGGTCATCGTCGAGCTCATCTACAAGGTGCATTGTGATTCAACTGTA